GTTGGTGCGGCCGCTGGAACGCCGACGAGCCGCGGGCCGCTGCAGCCGCGACGGGATCCGGCGTCGGCGTTCCAGGATTTGCGTTTATCAACATTCATTCAACCTGCCCTATTGTTAGTTCAAAGCCTGCCTGGGAGGGTCTGCGAGACTGCTCCTCACTCACCTTCAGTTTAAAATTCTCCACCAATAAGCAGGTCCTAGAAAAGCTGACAGCATGGGGTTGGCCGGGATTTTCTGGGCTTAGTGACAACATAAACTAAAGTCATTTTCTTTTTCATGCGTGAATTTGCTCAGGAAGTTACAAATGAGTGCCAAAGCATGAAGAGCCAGGCCTGGCTGCCCGTCCACTTTGACGGACAGTTTGGGGGTGGGGGGTAGCACCGTGACTTCCCAGCGCTAGATCTAGGGTTTCACCTTTTCATCCCACTTAGCCGATACCATAGAAACAACCCATTTGTATTATTCAATTCAACGGAGGCAATTACAATGTCAGAGCAAAGCACCATGGGCAAGAAGAAACTTTATCCTGAAAGCAATTCTGGACTCTCAGAAAAAAAGGAAAAGCCACCGGAATACTCACTTGAATTTCTTCCTGCCCAGGTACCAAGAAGAAGTCAGTTTGGAAAAAGACATAGAAGGTCTTTTGGCTCCACAGAAAGAAACCTCTCTAAATTTACCTTTTTTTACATACCCACACAAGTCCCCAATTTATCAGAAATTAAACAGGTAATGTTTGATTCGTTCTTAAAGCTTTGTCTTCAGGGTTTAGGACATAGGTATGTACCCATAAAATTTTAATGTAACCCTTCCCTCTGAGTCTTCTCTTTATACCATTAATCAGAGGGGGGAAAATATCTAAAACTAAGAAAATGATGTTACATTGCTGAGTTTCTGGAAACAGGACAGAATAATTTTTCCCTGCTGTGACAATCAGAAGAAATAATAACAAAGGGATTAGACAGTGGGTCGTAAACAGCCTCTCTAAGTCACACAAGCCGTTCCATGGTTACCAAAAAGTCAATAGAAAACCCAAACAAATAATACCCCCTTAATTCACTGTCAGGGGAATTGGAGAAAATGTAATCTAGGTTACCACTTCTTTGAGCTGTATGTCCTATATGGTATTAAAGTACTTTTTTTCATGGTCGCTTGGCCAGGTAAGCCATAAACTTTTAGTAAGGATTTTCCAAATGTAAGGGTCTCCTGCTAGTAGTTCAATTCAAGGTTGAAATCATTCCCGATGAAAAGTCTCCCCATCCACGCAGTGAGATGCAGAGAGCCCTTTACAGGGGTCCTTTGACTTAACCTCCTCCCAGCAGTAAAAGGGGCTGTGAAAGCACTGATTTTTCTTACATGCCATTGACTGGTGAAAGACATCCTTCCCCACCCCCACTCTCCTCTTGCTTCCAGAGCGATGACTCTCATTAATTATACTGGCACAGCCCTGCCTGGCCTCCCTTCTAAATAGCTGCCGGGTTTCTACATATCACCTCTGCCTTGATACACACAGAACGTGCACTGACACCGGGATCACAGAGAATCCTGTAAAAAGCTGCCTGAAGAAGGATGATTGATGCACCTTGCAGTTGTGCCGGCTGTGCTGCGTAGCGGAAGGGTTTCTAGGAAAACTGTACTGGGAATCTGTGTTGGAAGTCGGTTTTTCTAGCTGTAGAAAGATGGTGCTCCCAGTTGCAAAAATACTCATATTTAAAGTAGTCAAATTTAACCAGCAATATAAATTATCACCATGCGGCAAGAGAGTGAAGGAGATGAATACTGTCCCTATTTCAGTCGTTACGTCAAGAAGTCAACAGAACAATCGAAGAATTCTTACCAAGACGGAGTTATCCCTCTTTCAACACTCAGTAATCGTTGAGTGCTTGCCATGCACCAGGCACTGCTCTAGATTATGTCTCAGCTGGACTACAGATAGTGCTGAAGTACAAAGCAGTAGCTGTCCATAAGGCCTTACCCCCGACATTGGTCAAGGCTTTGGGATACAAATAAGAAAACGAAAACCAAACTAGCTTCAGGGGAAAAGCCCATGTACTAACCCTCCTCTTCACAGAGAGGCTTCAGGAATGACTGAATCCAGGAGTCCAGAATCATCATTTCTCTCTCACACTCCTTCTCATTTTTGCTTCTATCCTTTCTTTCTCTGCTTTTCTCAATGTTTTGGTCTTATTCGCTCCTATTACATATGTGCATCCTCTATAGGCTGGTGCGGGTGGGGAAGGCATTCCCAGGGACCGCTCTAGGTTTCAATCATCAAAGCTAGTGATCCCAGGGGAAAGAGAGGCCTTCTTGCTCTTACCACCTATAAATAAGGTTGTAGAAAAGGATTCTAATTGTCCTGGTTCGGATCACGTGTCCATCCATAGATCTATTAATGTGGTCAGCAACAAGTAGAGTACACATGTGTTGCCAGTTCCTGATTACACAGCCACCCAGATAGCCAGGGCTGTGAGACAGCTTGAGTAGCAGCCCCACCAGCACTCTGAGAAGGTGACACAGGGAGGATTTGTTCCTCCTGGGAGGGTAGGAAGGGATTCTAGCAGATAAAAAGAGCAGGTGTTCCCTACAGTTCCTGCTCCTGAATCAGCCGCTTAAGAAAGACATAAACACTTTTGCAGATTCATATGTATATAACAGAGTTTTTTTTTTTCAATGAGAGAAGAAACTTCCTGAGTGCATCAGGAAAGACTGGGGGTGGGGATAGAGGGTGGACCCTTGTAAGTACCACCAATCTTTCCCTCCCTAGCTGGAGAGTTGTTTTGTTTCATGTTCTGTGTTCTTCACGGAAATTTTCCTGTGTACACAAAAGTTGAATCATAATGAAGCACCATATATTAGTCACCAGTTTCAAAGATTATTAATTTTTGCCAATCTTTTATATATTCAGGAGTGTGGAGAATTCACTGAAATACTTAATTTTTAAATTAACACATTGTTGCAGTGCTATGACCTTGGTTAATGGAAGAAATGCATGCCTCCAGAGTAACTAAATTAATTGGTACCAATATATATGTGAAGCTCCTAGTACAAACTGAGCTCTCAAAAATGTCAATCATTTTTGCTGGCAACCTATTTAAAGCTTTTTAAATGCTAACAAACTCTACACACTGAAACCTACCTGGCCTATGGAGGAAAAAACATTTAAGGTTAAATCTCTTACCAATGGACAATAACATTTTTCCATGATCCATTTTTAAATGTGCCATTCATATTTTTTTCTATAACAAGCCCATATAATTGTTTCTCCTTTTATATGGAAATGTCAAATGTTACAAACAAATGCACTTTTTCACCTAACAAATAAGGAGACAATACAGGTTAAATTGTTTGTCAAGATCAGGAATGAGTTTGGACCTAGATGTCAGGATTCTAACCTCTAGGTTCCCTGCTTTGAAACCTTGGCAAAATAATTCATCCTGTGAATGCTGGAAAAAAAATATAGGAGCAGTGCAGTGCCTGCCTAGATTTAAGTTCTTCAAGTCAGCTAAGATTTTCTCATACCCTAGTTATGTTTCTCAAGAGATTTTCAGTTCCCAGCATAGAACTAATACTTCCTAAAAGGCAAAAATATGCTCAAGTGCAATTTTCCCACTTTCTATTTTTCTCCAACTAGATTCATTTTTTTCTCCTGGAGGTTTGGAGGGCTGGGAAGGAAGAATTTTAGAGAAAACAATAGTGTCGGAGAAGGACAGGGTCCTTTTTCCTTCTTCCTAAGAGCCTCACAGCTGAGCTCTGTGAGGTTCCTTTCCAGAAAGACCTCCCACGGAGCCAATATCTACAACTTTCAAGATGGTCAGAACCGGCTGGGCAGGACAGACCTAAAACTGAAGTCCTTGCTTCAGCTAGGAAGTAAACTTGAAACTCTGAAATGACATATTTCCAATATAAAATGTACTTGGTTCTCCTTCCCACACTATCATTAAAAATTCCTGCAGGATCCTGTAATATAATTAAAAGAAAAACATACCTTCGTAATTTAATTGCAGACCAGTCATCTAATACAGCAATTATTTTTGTAGACTTTGAACAAAATGTTGGATGAATGAGCAAGTTGTACAGGAGAGAGAAAATGAAGAAAGAAACTGATAAGACAGAATGTAAACCCTAAAGCTCTGAAAGATGGGGGAGGGGAGTGATGGGGGATGCGGATGGATAACAGACAATTTACAACACAAGGAAAATTCTTCTGGTTCCTTACTGTTCCTTACTATTTGGAATCCTAATGGGGTGTGCAGTCTCCATTACTAACACCTGCTTTTTTTTTTTAACCAGAAAACAAATGGTTAGGTTTTATTCACACAAACATAGTAAAAGGAGAAGCTGCATTTTAAAAAATGTATATTGGCTTTTGTGTCATTTATTTACATATTTAAACTAAAAGTGTGCTTAGGGGGCTTGATTTGTCCAAAATAAATAAAATTTTATAATCTGACAATTAAAAAAATTACCTTTCAGACCATTTAAGACAAATTAATCTTCATGGGGTAGGATCATTAGATGTATTGGTGAATATAATTTCCAATAAGCAAGAAACCAGACAAACTGCTGTAGAGGGAGCAGAAGTGATCCAAAATTTAGCAAGATAGTTTGAGCTACAGGGCCCACTCACTATACCTTGAGAAGAGGGAAGAGAGGTAGATGAATAATGATGTGACAAGTGCTAAAATAGATATGTTTGCAGTGTTGTGGAAGAACAGAAGAGGGAGCTATTACTCAATTTCATTACTAAATTAACCTACAAGCTGTTTTGATAACCAAAATAAAATAGAAAATAGAAGCAATGATCCACATAGCTCCATTTTTACAAAAACTTCATTACTGTCTGAATTATTTGTTGTCCTTAGTTCAGTTATAGAAATCTATTCGAGTTTCTTCAAAAAAATGTAGTAGAAAATGAGATCTTCTATAGTGACTTCCAGTAACCTGTGGATTTTCACACTGCAAGCCGGCACACACATTTAAATATATTTATAACAAAAATATTAGTTCTCACTTCAGCAGCACACATACTCAAATTGGAACAATAAAGAGAAGATTAGCATGGCCCCTGCTCAAGGATGACACATAAATTCGTGAAGAGTTCCATATTTTTAAAAATGAAGAAAATCAACAAAACAACACCCATCTTTGCTATGTGCAACACAGTCTGATATATTTCATTCTGTTCTGTTTTCTTTTTCTTTTTAATTGCTAGTGCCAACCTATTAAATTTATTTCACATCTCACTAATAGTTCATGGCCTACTTTTGAAAAGCACTGCTCCGAGGTGTCCTTTAAAAATAAAAAACAAGCAAAACATTCTGAGCATAATGATCGGAACAGAAATAAGTGTGTTCAGCAGGACCCCACCTGCACGCCTTTCCCCCAGGAAACTGATAGATCTCAAAGCCATACAGGATTAAATCTCTGAAAGACAAAAAAGGGCCTGTGATTGCTCAACACTTTGGCCATGAACCCGCATCAACAGAAAGGGGCTTCTAAAGTTGGCCAGCCCTCAAAGGGTAGATTCCCCCCCCAACCCTGTACCTACTGTTGGAGAGGCTCTGGAGGATAGCTGAGGCGAGGACGGCTCATCTTCCAGAGAGCAGAACGGGCACCCAGGCTGACTGACCAACAAATTCACATGCTGCCAGCCAGCACTGGGAATCCTCATTATCCCTGTCCGGCAGGATAGGACATACGCTGTGAACTATTGACAACCTATTTTCCCTCCATATTATATAGTGGGCTCATTGACATTTGGCCTTAGACTTTCATATCATGAGGAACTACCACTGGACCTGACCAAAAGGAATTCTTATCACTCAGAGTTCCTAAACTTGGGCATGGTCTTAATGTCCTATATAAACCTAACCTTCTTTCCTAAATACTGGATCCTAGAATGATCAGTAACTCAGTCTAATGCTATTTCATCATAGGCTGCAGAAGTTCCAAATATCTCAATAGCTAATGGCATTGTCCCCATTTTCCATCATTGATGCCGTTTTTTTCTATTTTAATATTTGTTTGATATTTTCATGTAATTTGAATGGAAGTAAATGAATAAGCTCAATAACCATGTCAAAATATATTGGATTAGTTGTTTTTTTTATCATTGTTCAGCTATAGTTGTCCCAATTTTCCCTCCATTGCTCTCCCCTAATTCATTATTAAGCTTTTTTCCTATATCATTTTTAAACTTAACATTTTAATTTTTAATCATTTTTTTTCTTCAGTCTTTTTGTAAATTCACATTGCTTTCTTCCTGTGATTTGCCTTCATTGAAATAGCAACTTTGGGAAACAGCATTTGAAAAGCTCCAAACCACTAATGAGGCTCAGGACACACTGTCCCCAAATACAGCACCTCATTATATCTCATATTTAAAGCTGAAGGAGTCTGAAAAAATGGCCAGAGCAGAAAAGTCACCTGACCCCCCTCCTTCACTTGCCCTTCTTCCCTGAAACAGGTCATAAATCCCTCCTGTAAGAGGCGCACTCCCTGTAGCTGGAGGAAGGGAGCATTCTTATCTCCAACAGCTAAGGGACGCCAAGAGGAATCCTAACAAACAGGTCTTGCTAAGTCTCCTTCAGGTTAGTACACTTGCCTCATACCCCTTATCTTACCATATTCCTCCATAACTGTGTGCTCGTCATCAAATCTGGCACACAATACTCAGGTCTGTGTCTTTGGGTCATTGTTTTCTTATGAAGTCTCTCATGTCCCATAATATCAATTAAATAAATTCGTGTGGTTTTCCTCGTTACCCTGTCTTTGTCAGTTTAATTTTCAAAGCCAGACAGGGACCCCAAGAAGGTTGAGGGAAACTTTCCCTCCCCACACCAAAAAACAAAGCTGGGACCCCTTCTCCATTCCAGCTACCCCGGTAGGGGCTGCGGCTCCTCAGTGTGCCTGTCATTCCCTTTAATGGTGGCTCAAGCAAGAATGATTTTGTCGGTGCCTCAAACTTCTGAAATGCTGCTGTTTCTTGGCTTTGTGAACCATGTTGTTTCTTTATGAAGAGCCACTGCCTTTAAGTCAGTGCCATATACAACCACTGGATTTGGGTCAGACTGTATCTACAACGTGCCTGTTGACGGTTACCCCAGGAGAACTCACATCTCAGAGATGCAAAGTTCACCTTGATGAAGAACCAGATGATGCTGGAGAAATCCAGAAGAGGATGAAGCTCTGGGCCCAGCATTGTCTGCCTGTCTCAGGTACAGTTCATTCTCCTAAAGCAGGTTCTGCAAGTGTAACAGGTTGGTGTGAGGTACTGACCACCACACTAACCACTACACATCGTTAGCACACTCAGAATCACCACAGAGAGCAGGAATGGCAGGTGAGATAGTACAATTGTTGGAATTAATGACCCTCATAATTCTTCAAGTCAAGTTTTTAAAAGATGGCATTTTAGGCAGCAGATTTCCCAAGCTTTCCCAGTGGTGGGAAAGGTAAACTGATTTAGAAGGTTTCACAACCAAGAGACATGAAAGGTCCTGGAGTCAAGAGTTGGACAGTTAAGAGTTTGTGGAGCAGCAACCATCTCTTCCCTCTCTCATTCACACAGGGCAGGAGGAAGATTTGACATTAGCACTTCACAGTCCTTTCTACAAGACTGAGGGTGCCATACATTCCATTTTCATTAAGTTTGGAGATAGTGATGATCTCTTTAGTCATTTGCCAAACTACTGGACCTACCAGCACCTCACTTTCCTAAGATAAGGGGAAAGAAGCATGACAAAGAGAGGGGGAAGCAAGAGCCCTGGCTGGTGTGGCTCAGTGGATTGAGTGCTGGCCTGCCAACAAAAGGGTGGCCACTTTAATTCCTACTCTGGGGCACATGGCTGGGTTGCCAGCCAGGTCCCCAGCAGGGGGCATGTGAGAGGCAACCACACTTTGCTGCTTGTCTCCCTCTCTTTCTCTCTCCCTTCTCCTCTCTAAAAAATAAATAAACAAATTTTCTTTTTTTAAAAAGAAGGAAGCAAGAGAGAGGAAGTATGTGGTGGATAGCCTACATTCCTATCAGTTAGTACACTTAGTATAAAAATGCATGAATTTCCTTTAGGTTGAACTTACGCTGTGGGAAGTGGCAGGGCTGAAGCAGACTTGCTAATACGTCCCTCCTCTCCACAACACATGCCCATGAATGGAGTGATTAGGTCCAGTCACCTTCTACAAGCAAACTCAGTGTCCTTGCTATCCCAAATGGTGGAGTTCCAGAAGTTGAAGACTGTAAACTAGACTGCCTTGGGAATTAAGTAGGTGAAGAGAGAAAGTGCTAAGAGTCTCCCAAGACAGAGGACCACAATAGCGAGCCTCTAGAGAGGACTCATGGAACAGTAACTGTGACCAAATGTGTCAGAGAAGAGCCAGCATTTGGAACAGAAACATCAATACAACAAACAGAAAGCAAATTGTAAGGAGACTTTGGTGGTCTGTTTTTCCCTTTCTGGGTGTTTCTAGAATCCTTTCAGTTGCCTGGTCATAGCTGTGCTAGATCCTACGTATGGGCATAGTTTTCACTCTTCTCCCAAGTTCTGTTCATCATTAATTATGATAAAGCTGGTGTTGCTACCAACATCTCCTATGTAAGAAGTATGATTGAAAAATAAAAAATAAATAAAACCTGGAAAAGGAAATGTGGATCTAGAAGAAAACAGATTGACAAGGGTCATAAAAACCCAAGCCTTTAGAAAAATTAAAAACCACATTCATTTGATAAAAATATATTTAAAAAGTGAAGGGCTCAAGATACCCAAATGCCAAGCTGAAAAGGTGGTCATGGATCCTGTTCTGAAGACAGGAGGGAGACCAAGAAGTAGTAAATTCTCTGAGAAAGGCAAAGAACCTGGATTATAGTCAGAAATTCAGCCAAAAAGGGATTTTCCCACTTTTCCAAATGACCCTGTTATAACCATCTCCAATGACAAAGATCTAGCCTCTCTGCAATTATCTAGGTCACTTTGCTCTTGGTCCATCAAACAAGCTGGTCTACAATAGATACCAAAGACAAAAACAGGAAAGCAGAGGTTGTTGGCCCAAATGAAAGTTGCTGGCCAATGGGATTCACCCTAACCTTCAAGTAGATATTAATACTGCCACTGCTTAAGTGAAGATCAAGAATATTCAGCAAACAGTGACTGCACATGACAGAAGTCCCATTCATCTATTTTTCTTCTTCTCTACCGTGTCCATAAAATCAGAGTTCCTTACCACATCATCAAGGGAAAGGTTAGACTAGATCATCTAGTCCAGAGAAAGACCTCCACCAGCCTCATCTTCGTCTGCCTTAACTGGAAAGACCATTGTCCACTGCCTGAGCTGGCAAAGGTCATCAGAACTAATCATAGTGAGAACTAGGATAGGATCTGACAATACTGGAAATGCAAATAGCTCAAGAACTTGCTACAAAGGTACTCTGTTTAACTTCCTGTAAATAAAAATAAAACATCCCCTTAAAATGCAGCAAAAACTATTGAGGCATTAGGCCCAGGTAGTAGAAGCTAGTATTTAACTGTAACAGTAAAATGCTTGTGCTCTCTCTCTTAATTCTAGCCTGCATTTCTACCATGGTCGTTAGGCAAATAGTCCCTGAATATAATTCTGCATATAATTATAGATATGCTAATTATTAGAGGCATTCTATTTGAGGCTTATGTTTTTGGAAAAAATTTGCAGGAGCCTCAAGACCACACTCAGGTCAGCAGGGATCAAGGAGAGCAGGGCACAAAAGGATTTAGAGATTTCGCGCTCTTCCTTGGACCCCGGTTGGGGCCCAGGTGGCACACACCTCTTGCCCAGCCCATTCTCCCTTCCCGTCACATAAAAGAAGCCAGAATTCTGGGCTCTCGTAATATGGATTTACGAAGGCTTTCAGGCCCCATCTTTGCAAGCAGGCACTTTCTCGATCAATAAACCTTTCCTTATTCCAAAATGGAATTGTGAATTTTGGCTTTTTGAAGCATCAGGCACACGAACCTTGATTCAGTAACATAACATCTTATCCTCCCCAATGAAAATTTTATTTCACCACCATGAAATAAAATCACATAAAAAAAGAATCTTTGGAAAGTTTGTGACCTCACTTAAAATTAATGTTGGGAAATATACCTTGTTTTGTTTTAACCAGGAGTTAGACAGCGACAGTAAACTTCTCATTCTGTATTACTGATTCTCACAGGAGTTGACTATTTGGACCAGATGATACCTGACTTTATCAGTGCCACAAGTCATTAAGAAAAATGTAGGTATTGTGGATGTTAGGGATTATCACCAGTGTTGTTGAAGAAGCTTTGCACTGTCAGGATGATTTTAGCAGCAAGTGTGTGTTTATGCCAAATCCTCAAACCAACTCAAACTGGCTTTAAAAATACACAAATTTACTATTTCACATAAGATGAGAAGTTGGATGATAAGATCTTTCAAGGGCTGGCTAGTTTAAGAGCTCAACAATGTCATAAGACGTCTCTATTCTTTCAACTCTCTGCTGCCACCCTAAACACAATGCTTTTTATCCTCAGGATTATCTCCCTCTTAATTATCTTCAAGAGTGTATATTCCTACCCTGACTGGTAGCTCAGTGGGTTGGGCGTCATCCTGCAAACTCAAAGGTTGCCGATTTGATTCCTAGGGCATGTGCCTGAGTGGGGGGTTGGGTCTCTGGTTGGGGGCTCGCGAGGCAACAGATCTATGTTTCTCTCCCTCTTTTTCTCCCTCCCTTGACCTCTCTCTAAAATAAATAAATCTTTTTAAAAAAATTCTGTCCTCCTCATGTAATGACAGGTAGAATTAGCCATACTTTATTGCTAGGAATGGCCAAGTGAGTGTAGGGTAGGCGGAGGCAGTCTGGCTCCCTCACCCAGATGCATGGATAACCGGAGGGAGCAGCTCCTGACCACCTTGAAGGAGTCTGATAAAGTAGTGTTCCCACAGCTTGAGCCCGGGTGTGATAAGCTGCCCGTAGCCTTGAGTAGGCTCGCATGCGCAACTCTTGATAGTTACTCCACATTCTGGCCTGTAGCCTGCTTTGTATAGGGCTAGTATTTAAGAGGTAGGAACTTTGGGCGAGGTGGGGAGTCAGGGCGCCAACTTGGACACGGGTTTGTGGCCAGTGTGACTCCCTCCACACGGGCTTGCGGCCTATGTGACTTCCCCAGACATAGGCTTGTGGCCTGTGTGACTCTCCCGAATAAAGGCATGTCAGGCATCCCCAAGCTCCACGCATCTTCTTCCGTCTACCTGAGTCCCGAGTGGACTTGCCCAGCCTAGAGAGGCTGCAACACAGTGAGCTTCTCTGGGAGCACTTCCCCAAATTCGCAAACAGAAAGCAGATGAGAGAAAAGAGGAGCCTCGGACATGAGTTATAAACAGTTCCTTTATTATAAATAAAGTTAATAAAACTGGAAGAATACTCTCTTTAAACAAAAATTAAATGGCTGTCCAAAGTAACAAAAAATAACACGACCCATAAACTCTCTTCAAATATCAGCACTACATGTATATATTCTTCAACCTGATAAATTTTTACAGTGTTTCATTTTTCTTAAAAGCATATTATATTAATCACAATTTATTTAAGTTATTCTCATATTACCTTTATAACAATTATCTCTCAAATATTTAAATACCATGAGAATACAACTTTGACCATTTGGGGACAATTCCCATTTTATGTCAATAAAAAATATCCATATATTTACATATTTTACTCTTTTTGTAGTAGATGATCTGCAGATCTCTAGGCATGTTTCACCCTTTTCTACGAAAGTGTATGCGACCCATAAGTTCTCTGAATTTCAGGAATAAGGAGTTGTCTTTCCATGCTTCATAAGTATTTCTAAATTTGTCATAATAATTTTCTTTTTTCAGGTTGAAATCTAATTCAATTCTTTTTAAATAACTGTCTTCTTTCCATACTTCTTTCCAGGAGTCTTTGAATTTTTCCAAATAACTTTCTTTTTCTGATTCTTCCTTCCATATTCCTTCTCCTTTTTTTAAGGCTCTTAATTCAGCTTTAAGTAAGTTTCTGTGTATTTTCCAAAAGATTTTAGAATCATAATTTAGCCCTTTAACAAGAACAGTTTTACCAAGGCCTCTTCTCAAAATTTCTTCATTCAGACTCACGGTAAAAAATCTACCCTTGAATAAAAAAATAACACAAACCAATTAATTAAGAAAATTGATAGTATACCCATAACATCTATTTACTTTATTTAATTTTTTTCCATTACCATTTAACCCCCTAATACTCCCCTCCCCCAATAATCACCACACTATTGTCCAAGAGTCCTTTTTCCTTTTTCCTCAATCCCTCCGCCCCCTCACCTCCACCCCACAGCTGTCATCTATTTATTTTAAAGTCAGTCACTGAACAACTTTAATGCTCCAGAGAAAAGCCCAAAAGCAAATGATTCCCCAAGAGCTTAAAACAGCTAATGTGAAATCCAAGAATTTCATTACTAGAAGAGATCGTTACTCAAAGTCAATTGCCTGTTTTATAACATATTGTTCTCCACAGCCTCGTTGGTCTAACCCAAAGAGGTGCAGAAGCAGTAGAGTGTAGAAAAGGCTGTTTGTTGTTTGGTGGGGGAATGGATCACAAGAGACAGGCATGGTGACCGGGGGGCCACAGCAAAAGAAACTAGAAAGTAGGCAGATGCACAATGAATTCAATCATCATGGAACTGTTAAATTAAGTTAATAATTCCAGTATTTAGAAAGGTACTGGCATGTAAATAAATTTTTAAAAGACATTCCACAAAACAATTAACATAAAAATAGGCCTGGCCTTGAATCTTCATCCTTTAGAAAATTTCATTCATGGAATCTCTCACTTCCTAGTGAAAGTGGATAAATGGGATTCCCCCACAACGCCACTAATTTACAATATAAAGGAGATCCGGCTTAGCTATTTCTATTATCTTTGTGGGATTATAACAAATTATTAATAATCTCATACCTTTGTTAGACAAGTAATTTACAGTGAAATTCTAAAAATGTGTAAACTCCAGGTTTAAAGTAGGAGATATTTTCTAGGACTATATAAAGAAAAAGTAAGCTCTCCTCCTTTAAATGCAGTAATTTTTGGTATAGGATGCTGAACAGTTAGTAGATACAGTTTTAAAATATTAATTACATTTTTCTCAATCATTTAAAGAGCTCATCCCCTTAAAACCAGAACAGTTAAAATTTAATCTCACATTTAGTAAAATTCAACAGATGTAAATTAGCACAATAGACATATTGCATAGTTTGGTCACCTGCTAGGAAGGAGGATAACGTGAAATAGGTAAGGTGAGGTCTGGGCCTAGGAGCTGAGAAGAGCTGGGCTTGAGTATGGGCTCTTGGTTACCCTGCGTCCCATCTATAAATGGGAATAAAAACAGTGACTCCCTACGGCTGGCTTTGTGGACAAATAAAATATACTTCTCAACTTAAAAGAGAAGGTAGTATTTTTGAAACATCTTTGGCATCTTTATAGAATTTTGTATCCATTTTAAATGTAAGATGCTTTGAATAATTCTTATTTCGATAGAAATCAACATGCTCTGGACATGCAAAAAATAATGGATTCCATTAGGTTTTCTACTAATACTTCAAAAACGTAAGAAGGAAAATGGTTACAATGCCAATCACTTTAATGTAAGCTTATTTATTCTTCACATTATTCTTGTTTATTATATAAGAGGCTTTAAAAATAAGAAAAACAACTCTTAACTCTGTCATAACAACATTTCAGCTACTTAATTTCTCCAGGTCCTTTGTTCAGGAATCGCCCACCGACAATCTGAGTACGGCACACACCCAAGGAGCCCTCTCGGGGACTCGGCAGGCGGCCCAGCACCGCCGAGGGCGCCCTGGGGCAGCCCCAGCTACCCCGCGGCTGCGGCCGGTCAAAAGGGTTAGAAAACTCTGAGGCAATGTTTTCAGACGACTGGCTGCTCTGATCATAAACAGGATTTAAATATGTTCAACGTTAGAGTTCAAAGACTGAGCAATACTCACCTTCAGCAAATACCCTTGTTTTTTGTTGACAAGCATCATTCAAGTAGTTTCTAATAACGAGTGATACCATATTCTTGTAACGTAAATGTATAGATTCTCCTTAAACTGGCAATGTGCAGAGTCATTACTCACGTTAAATGTTTCCCTTTTCTTAATTTTCTATTTTTTATACCAAACATATATAACCAAAATTTTATAACAAAATTTACACATGAAATAAATACCTGATTCTCTACATATAACCACTAAGAATAGCAGTTTAAAGAGGCAAAAAGTATTCAATCCCATAATATAGCCAAGGTCTTCATTAATGGCATTTTTATGTAGAAATAAAAAAAATAAAATATTCCTCATTATTTCTTGATACAACTTACCTTATTGACTAAAAGGTAGCAAAAGAGGGCTGAATTCTCCTTTCCAAGAAGTTGGAACCATAGTAGCTGGGAAGGTTTTAGTTCTTTTTGTAACCACACCTTCCCAGTTTCAGCGAGTTCTACCCCAGCCAGTTTAACCAGCAAAACGCCACAGGGTTCTTCTGAAAAGGTCACGTAGAAAAGAACAGAGCTTTAATACCATGTTGTGGATGCAAACTGCACCATCATTTAATTCCCAAAAAACCTACTGAATATACTACGTTTACTTATAAATACCCAGACTCTCTCTAAATGTAAGTCTATTTATTTCTATATCCAAGTTTTCTTTTAAAACAATACAAGTATCTAACATGGAATAATTCCAAAAACCCATTTTGGTAAGCTCCGCGACCACATGCGAGGTTTAACCAATTTACCTTTTAAAAAAATTTAAAAACTTCTAGTTTTTATTTTTTAAAGACTTTACTTATTTATTTTTAGAGAGAGGAGAAAGGAGGGAGAGGGAGAGAAACATCCGCGCATGGTTGCCTCTAGCACGGCTGCCACCGGGGACCCACTCTGCAACCCAGGCATGTGCCCTGACTGCGAAACAGACCGGCCCCCCCTGATTCACAGGCGGGCACTCAATCCACTGAGCCACCTCATCCAGGGCCAGATTTTTTTATATACACAGGGTCTGGCAGAAGTAACACCTGCTTGAGTGTGATTGGTAGGGTATGTGAATGTTTCTCATGAGATGGACAGCAATTTGAACATTTCACTTAAAATGTCATGTGGTGTGCTTGAGTGTGATATTGTTATATTGCAGAATTACATCCTTATGATTCTGTAATAAAACATTTTGTAATTAAAAAGGGGTGTTATTTTTGCCAGACTCTGTGTGTGTGTGTGTGTATTATATTTGCACCTTACTTACTTCTTCTCCATGAAGATATAAGAGGTAAAGTAATAGGTATATGTTCAATTTCTAAACCATCCTCGGTTATTCGGTGTATTCGTCCACGTAGTTTAACATTCTTTCTTATAAATTCTACTGGAATATCTGAAGAACTTGTAAATTTTGATGTCTGATGATTTACAAGGAGAAAAATACAACATTTTATTATTATTTTCACTTAAAATTAAGTGTGTCAAATTGTTATTTAAACATTTAAGAAGACAACATTAAAAAAATTTTATTTGGTTCTAAATTTTATAGTAATATTTTAACATGGTTTAATCGAAAGTGTTAATAAGCACATTCGTCATAAGCTGCCAGCTGCCAGAGGTTGCAGCTGAGGGGGCGGGGGCAGAATGGTGGAAAGAAAGGGAAGGGCTTAGTCAAAGAACATCTATGAATGACCCGTGGACTTGGACAGCAATGTGGGGGTTGATGGGATTGACTGAGGGAGTGGAGGGTGTGCTCGGTGGAGCAGGGCAAAGGAAAAATTGGGCTAACGATAATATAATAAACAAGAATAATTAAAAAAAGAACATTCTTTAGAAATCTTTGTCAGCACTTTACTACTTCAAGCTACCATATAGAGCACATTAAACAGACTCCTAACTTCTAAAAGCTAATATCCTCAAAATGACACAATTGATCAAAAAGAAGGGAGTATAATGAGTATAGATCTGTACCAGGTACCACACAAACCCAGTTAAGCAGTCACTATCCTGTTCTATAGATGTGCAACCTATTCATGCAGGTACTGCTGGGAAAACCTAAACAAAGCTGAATCAAATTAAATTAGAACTCTTAATCAACAAGACTTTTTTTTCTTATTTTTTATCTTGTAGGAGAAAAAGGACAGGAAAAAAAAGGTCAACGTTAGAAATGTAATTTAACACCTAACACCTAATGCCCTAGAGGTAGCCAACATTTTGTAACTAGGTCTTCCACGTCAGCAGAACGGCAGGCACACAGGGACGAGCTTCATTCGTAATCGTGGCTACATAAGAACCTCACATGCGCATGATAAATAGTACCCAACTTCCTAAGATTGTAAAGTTGAACTAAACATTCCAGAAACAAATCCACACAAGAATATTGTAGCAGACAAATCCCGAATGTGGGACATTCAATGGGACAAACAACTTGGTTGCTCTAATAAATCAATGGCCAGGGGGAAGGGAGGGAGAGCAGGACGGAATGTGTAGATTGTTATAAAATAAATAAGAGATATAACAAACAAATACAATACCCAGACCTTTTGAGTCCTGATTTGCATAAATCATCTACTTAAAAAACACATCATTGAGATAATCAAGGAAATTTTAATATGGACTGGGTCTAAAATACTAAGGGGTTATTAATTATATTATGTGTGATAATGTTATAGAACAAACTCGCATTATGATCTTTTCGATGCAATATAATAGGAAGTATACCCCACCTTCTTGTTCACACTAAATCTAATGAGGAAACACACAAACCTAGAGTGTGCAACATTCCATAAGACAACTGGCTTGTATTCTTCAAAAATGACAATGTCACAAGAGACATAAATTAAAAATAGAGGTGTGCTGATAATTTTCTTGATTAAAGGAGACTAAAGAGACATGACAACTACATACAATGCATGATCTTTGATGCAATCTTCAATTGGTGAAAAAACAGCTACAAAGAATATTTTACTAAAGTAAGTCTGAATATGAACTGTACCTTAGATCATATTACTGCAAAAAATGTTAAATTTATTAGAAGGGATTAATATTAATTTGGTTATGCAGGCGCATATTCTGGTAGTAGGAAGTGCACTATGAAGAATTTATGGGGCATGTTTCCTGGTGTCTGCTACTTGCTTTCAAATGGTTTCATGGGGAGAAAGAGAAAGCACAGCTGTGACAAATGTTAACAACTGGAGAGGCCAGATAAAAAGTAGGTGAGTGCTACAAACTTAATCTAAAGAAAATGTTGGGGAGAGAAGGATTCTGGATCTACTGTCAGCATTCAAGAATGTGGCACCAAAACAAACAAAAACAAACACAAAACAACAACATAGAGAATATGGGATATGCAGAATGTAAATGAAAGAGAGGAGAAATCCTAAATGAAGAGTTTAAGTGAGTCACCTGACAAAAGCTGTTTATGAAAAGTCTGTGGGAAAAACGGAGAAAGATAGACTAATGTCCACACAGATGACTCCCACCATGCCTTTGTGACATCACAAAGGCGGCACTGATGAATTCAGGATATGTTGGGAGTGGGTACACTAGGAGTAGGCCACGAGCATCTCACTGGATCCTGTCCAGTTTAAGATGCTCACCGCTGACCTGAGCGAGAGCTGAGGCTGACGCATCAGCCTGCTGTGACGCTTGGGACGGTATGCACAGTAAAAGTCAGAGTGCGTATTTAAAAAGATCTTGACAACAAGGACAGGCTAAAACGTAAAAGTCTTTCCCTGCACTATACCCAAAACTAATGAAGGACAGAAGAGAAGAAATAGTAGCATATATAAAAAATAAAGTAGAAGTTTTAGTTAACTGTGAACTCAAAATGAGTAGAAAGTGTGACAAAGCTACCAAAAAAAAAGTACAAACTCCCCTCTCCTCTGCTTTCCTGCTGCACTTCACCCAGCTGATTTAGGTATATTTTTAAGGGCTACCAAGAGAAATGATCCCTCAGCGCTATTTTTACCCAAATTCTTAATCAGGTCAGTTAATATTTTGATAATTTAAAAACCTTCAAAATACATAGAATATATAGATTTTTAAGATCAAGAAAGGAAAAAGTAGAATGGAAAGAACTAAAGTCTCAAAAGTTCCAGTCTCATATATATATACATACATATATATAAAATACTAAATATAGTATATAAAATAAATATACACATATATTATGCTAAATAATTTACAAAATCATGGAGTTGTAAGAAAGAACCTATTAGCTGTCAAATTAGAAATAAGTTTGAGGCATTTATTTAAAAATAAATAAATGTGCTGACATGGAGTAAGGAAAAAGGTGACAGTTGGTAAAGATGTACTATAGTAATGCTTGTGGTCAATCTATGTTACTATAAAACAAGATATAATAGATGTAGGAAATAAATATATACAGAGGCAATAAATCCATGCCAGATTGTAAACATGACACTAAAATTACATCCTATAGCAAATACAGTTATTAAAAAAAAACAAACTTGTGAATCTTGATATAACAAATTTCCACAATGTTTATTATTAAAACACTACTGAAAGTCCAAAAAAAATATGGTAACTGAAAGCGTAAATTATTTTCTTATACTGTACATCTTGCTTTATTCATTTAACGATAGATCTTCAAGATTGTTGCAAATCAGAGAAAGCATAAGTTATTCAGTGCAAAGGGACAAAATTCAACTGTGGTCTAAATCTAAAACCAACATAGAAAACAGTTTAAAGATATTCCACAACATCTGAAATGCAAATTTAGGGATTATACCATTCTAGCCAACTAACTCCTTTCAGGTTCCTTTTTAAGCCTGAAGAAAGTGATGATGGACATGCAGACTGTACAATTCCTGTAAAATGCGGCGGATGTGTGATTGTTAAAACAAAATGTTAATTGTTCATTGTTCTAAAATACTATTTAAATGTTTCTAATATGAGTACCAAAATACTACCCTGCTTGAGATAAAGACTGAAGTAAGAAAAAATTAACTGTCTACTGTTTCTCACAATGCCCTGTTCATTTTTTAACTTACCAGTCGAACACTTCTAAGAAGTAACGTTATTCCAGCTATGGCCATTATGGTGCTGATGTTCTTCAGAAAGAGATTTAATGGTTAATTCTAATTATTATTCACAATGGTTAAAGTATTAGAAGGGGAAAAAACGCTATCCTCCTGTATCTGTCTAAATAAGGTATATTCTTCAACTAAAGGCCTACTTATTCCGAAAAAAACTTTTTAACTGCCCACCTACCTGTTAATCCTCCCCATTTTCTCCTAATCTGGCATACACAGTAACTGTTCACATAATATTGTATTATTCTCTATTGTATTTCTTTAACCACAAGTTCCTTGAAAGCAAGAGTAAGTTTAATACTTTTTGTGTAATGGCCACAATAACTCACATAATCCTGAGCCTACGGTGGGAATTTAAGTATTTGGTAGAAAACTTGATCAGCAAAACCTTAAAATACAGCACCTTGGGAAATCCATGTGGATAAGTAGTTGAGAAAAACATAGTGATATTTTTATAGTGTTTCATTTAAACTGAAATAGACCTAAAGGGGTTTAATTAAAAAAAAAACAACAACAAACAAACCCTACAACTCCCTAAACAAAAGTGAGAATCTGACATGCTTTCCTTTAATAAATACAACTAGGTATTATAAAAACTGAAGTTGAAAGCATACATGGGGTACATGCTGTGATGGGTGATCTGCAACATATCCCTGAACTAATGTAAACAATGTTTCCTCTCCCAGTCCTACTGAAGTCATTTTTCCATTTCAAATAATCCACACATCTCTTCCTCCTTACCTGGAGGATTGGAGGCCTGGTCGATTAACACATATACCTGCCACCATTCATTCATGCAGTAAATATTTATCTAGCACTTACTAAGTGGCAGGTAGTACTTTAAGGACTGGAGCTGCCCTCCTGAACTAATATAGGCATGGTCCTAATCACCCTTTGTGATGCTTGGCTGTAGAATATTTGCAAGGCTGCTGATCCTACCCAAATTCTCAGCAGAACTCAACCAAGGTAATCATTCCTTCTGAAAATATTCTTTTTACTTAGATTTTAAGACACCTGGTTTTCCTCCTCCACCCTCAGATTAGTTCCTTCCTAATCTTTGCTAACATGCTTCTTTTCTCTCCCTAATTTCCAGATGTTAGAGAGCCCCGCAGGTCTTTTTGAAACTAGGGTTTCTTCAATTTTTCTGACTCGCTCCAAGATGTCACCCAAGCTTTAAATACTTCTTCAGGCATATGCAGCTCATTCCCAAAGGTATAGTCCAGTTCTGATCTCCCTGCAACACGAGACTCCTACATCCAGTTGCCTAGAACATCTCCAACTACGTTTGCAAGTCTAACAACCATGTTCAAGTTCACACAGCTCTATTTAGACATCTAATAGGTATCTTCAAGTTCACGTGTCCAAAAAGTTCTCTAGATTTTCCTGACAAAACATTTACCCCAACTACTCCATATCACCAACTTTTGCCCACTACCCAGGGGGCAGCCTCTTGATTCCTCCATTTCTGCAAACCCCACACCCCCACCACCCCCCAACCCAACATCACCATCACCATCACCATCACCCTCACCGGGGTCTTAAACACAATCCTCTCTAGCCTGGTCGCCTCAAATGTCCCTCCCTTGCTAGAACTTCAGTGGGCTTCTTATTTCCCTCAAAAATAAAAACAAACAAACAAAAAAAAAAACCCGTCTTCTCTACCCAGGCCTACAAGGCCTACGTGCAAGGCCCTCCGCAACTGCACTAAAGGACTCGCGGGCGCCCGCTCTCCGCGGAGTCCCCGGACCCAGCACAGTGCTGGCAGCAACCGGGCAGCGCCGGCCTTTGCCGGCCTCCCCGGCCCGCCGCGCCCGCCCGTCGCCGCCTCGCCCACGCGCGCCTGGTGCTGTAGCCTCCGGGCTCGCTGTCCCTCGCCCGGCGCCCACCACCTGCCCGGCCCGCGGGGTTGCGGTACCCGGACGAGGCGGAGGTGGTCATCCGCCCACTGCGACACCCGCGCCACCACATTGGGTGTCGCTCCGTCTCGGTCGGCCGACGGCGAAGCGCTGGTCCCTGGCCGCCCGGCCATGTTCCCGGCCTCCCGCGAGCCCGCGCCGCGCTCCACGGGCGTACGGCAGGGGGCGCCGTGCCCCTCGAGCGTACGGCAGAGATCTGCAATCCTCGGGTGGTTCGAGGCGCCGCGCGCTGGGAGTGGCCTGGCCGACCGGCTATTTCCTCCTTTCGTCGCCGGTGGGCAAGCCTCCCAACCCGTTTTGACACACCCTAGCAGTGACTTCTCCACATTTTGCAGGGTTTCCCTGCAGCGTGGGTGATCCGCATGGGACAGGGTTGGGGACTGAATTCTCGACCACGCTAGTGGAAGATATGAATTTGTGATTTCAATTAACCCAGCGCAGTATGGGTTTCGCAGGTGCCATGCAAGAAAGGAAATTGTAGTTCATTCTTCCATTTAAAATTCTTCGAGCTCATTGACATGACCAAGTCATTGAACCGTATCCTGTTCACCTGTCCCCTCTAGTCTTCAGTTCCCCTTACCCAGCTTAGTCTCTTAGTGTTATAATCACTCCCTTGAAAATAGCCAAAACCCCAATCTCCCAGGCCTTCTTTGCACTTGCCTGGCAAAACCCCAACATTGGAATACACCCAACCTGCACCAAATAGTTGGAGTCAGTACGGAGAGATCTTCAGCTTTTTTCATGATAAGCTGCAAATGTAGACTTTTACAGGAAGTCACCTGTTTTGAAATTAAAATGAAGTGTTGGCAAAACACGGTACTGGGCATAAATATGTGTTAATACAGAGACTACAGACTTCCCGTGTATCATTTCTGCTTTTAATGGCTTTCCATTATGCTTCAAGTAATGTCAAAACTTTTTTTTTTTTAAAGATTTGTATTTATTTTCAGAGAGAGGGGAAAAGAGAGAAAAGAAAGAGAGGGAGAGGACTATCTATCGGTTGCCTCTCACATGCCCCCAACTGGGGACCTGACCCCCAACCTATGCATGTGCCGTGACTGGGAATCGAACCTAGGTTTGCAGGCCCACACTCAAGTCACTGAGCTACACCAGCCAGGGTGTAATGTCAAAATTCTTTAGGCTCATGTACAAGGTACTGCAAAATTGAGACCCTGGCCATCTAACCTTTTGTTTTCTACTCTATTTCATTCCTTATGACTCAAGCACACTGAGCACACTGACCTTTACAGATGCCAAGTTCATCCCTTCCTTACACGCTTCGCACTTACTATTCCCTCTGCTTAGAACACCCTGATTCCTCCTCCCCTTGACTCTCCCGACCGGCCACCACCATTAAGCCAGCTCCTTATCCTCTCAGTTTAAGTACCATATCCACAGAAGGCTTTTCTGAACACTTGATCTCAAATAGGTCCTCTCCACACACAGCATAAAATTTAATTTGTAATTTTATGGACTGACAGGCTTGTTTTTTATTCCCTTCCTTCCCTCCTAGTTTGTAGGTCAGGGACTGTGTTTCTTTACCATGTCTGTGTCTATGCCTGAATAGCCAAAGCCAAGCATAGTTCCTGACACATAAAAGAATCTTATTAAATATTAGCTAAATGAGATATCCTCTTCAATTCTCTATATGGCAAGATCTCTACCTCTCCTTCCCCCTCCTTTGTTTTGTCCATCTCCTCTTCTCTTCTACTCCCTTCTCTTCCAGACCAATTTAGTACCACAGCCTTTAGGGAGAGCAGAACTAGTAATTACAATGCACATGAAGAATTAGAGTACCAGTCAAGGTAACTACATAGCAAAATATAAAATACTGCATAAATGTATTTTTGTTTTTAACTCTTTGCTTCTCCTGTATGATTTCAAAGACTAGATAAAATAATAAAATTGTGTTGATGGGCTAATAATGTATAAAGATATAGTTTGTGTGACAGTAATTGAACAAAGGAGAGAAGAGGGAACAGAATTGGGTAAAGTTTCTGTATACTATTCAAAGTGATTTGTGCACTTTATGTAAAATTGTACCTTGACTTTTTTTTTTTAATAGGTGGTAGGAGGCTTTTGTATAGTAGAAACAACGAACACTGAAACCTCAGGCCTTGATGAGGAAATGCATATAGCTAGGACTTAATCTACAATATAGTTTGTGCTACGTTCAGGATCTAATATAGCTCTACTAAATTTAGCTACTAACACTGCCCCCTGCCTCAGAGGCAGATCCCTGCTAATATTAACCTATCTCCAACAAATCAACGTCTGCCTCACTGTGTGTTTCTTATTCTCCTTCCACTACCAACACACTACATCTCACACTCTTTATATGACACCTAAAAAACTATGATGGTCCAGGCGTTACCATCCATACCAAGCAAAGTTTTCATGCCAAGACACCTAACAGACTGATAGCTGGTCTGCAAATTGTCTATGCGTCAGTCAAGGACTCACCCCTCTAGCACAATCAGCAGCAGTCAGTAGGACATGATTCCGTGCTCAAAAACGGCCACTTAAGCTTAAGGTAAAGCTAGAGCTGCTCTGCTGAGCCCGGGACTCAGCACGGCACTTGCCCTCAGGAGAGGCTGTGGTAGGCATGGAAAAGAAAAATGCCTCTCCAGAGCATTCTCCTAAAAAAAGTTCCGCTGCCTCCTCTCTCTTTCATTGCCCTTTCTTTGCTGAGTAAATTATGAACCTCTAAAGGAGAAAGGCATGTCAAGAAACTTCTATTGCAGAAAAGATAATAAATTTGTTGAATCAAGTGAGAATCAAAGACTATAAGGGACTCACCAATATATGAAGGATAATGTGTATATACATATACACATACTTGTAATGATATAAAGCTTGTAATCTTTATATCATTAAGGTCAGAATTAAGTATTTTTTGCAGGATTGTCCTATATGTAGTACATGGTTCTGCCATTCCATTCTATCATGTAATAAGCCACATTTAAGAGGGTCTGATTTATTCACATAAACCTTCCAATTCTGTTTGTTGCCTCAACTCACACCTCACTACTGAAATACTAGACTTATTATTTCCTCTACCCACGAGCATCTTTTTTTTTTAACTTATTACCTTAAACTACTTGAATGATTTGCCCTTTTTAGACCAGGAGAATATAAAAAGAGTTATCACTGGAGACTGAACTCTAGGTTCTAAGACCCAGGTTTTCACTATCCCAAGCCTCCAACCATAATATAACCCGCCCCCACCCCTGCCAAATGTGTATTAAGGAAATTACAATTTCAAGAAACATCAGATAAAACGTATTTGTTATTATTTATTCATATTGTACTGTAAGTACACATAAAGTTTCTGGAGCAGGGATAATTTAATTATTAATTATGAGTCACATTTGTTCCACACACTCCAATGCTCACCTGCATGGTGACTGATGAGAACCAGATCCATTACCAATAGCTTATCAGAGCCTACATACGCCAGGGTTTGTAACACACGAGGAACCCTCCAATACAAATAGGAATACGGGTGGCTCCGTAGGACAGCTGGACTGAAGCCCTCCTTTCTTCCAGAGAAAGGAAATCTTCATTCTTTAGTGTAAAGAAATTTTCCTTGGAAAGAATCCTTGGTTCCTCCCCTTTGGAATGTAAATATATGTCTTCAGGAGGGAAGACAAACTTCTGTCTCCAGATTTACAACCCAGAGATATGGCCATGGTCCCAGGTCTCATTTCCCGTTAAAATGTACATACTAAGTAAGTTAAGTATCTCTGTTATAGACCAAATTATGTCCCTCCAAAATTCATATTATGACCCTAAGCCCCAATGTGACTGACTGTATTTGGAGACAGGGCCTTTATGGAGGTAATTAAGATTAAGTCAAGTCATAAGGATGGGGTCCTAATTCTACAGAACTGGTGTCCTTACGGAAGAGATACTAGGGATGTATATGCACAAAGAAAGGTCATGTGAAGACACAGCAAAAAGATGGCAGTCTCCAAGTCGAGAGAGACCTCAGGAGATAACCAAACCTGTTTCCACCTTGATCTTGGACTTTTAGCCTCCAGAAATGTCAAAAAAATAAATTTGCAATGTTTAAGCCCCCCAGTCTATAGTATTTTGTTATGGCAGCCGTAGCAAACTAATACAGTCTGGATGGCTCCTCTCCATCCAGTCACAAATGAACTTTAAGGGCTTCTCTTTCAGCACAGGTCCCAAGTTTCAGTAAAATTGGCTCAGAAAGCTCTAATGGTGGAGAAACAAAAGTATTTTCTCTATAGTCCCAAACTGTCCTTTAAGGAAATTCTTCAAAATTTTAACTACCAGAGCCAATAAAAAAAGTTAAAAAGCAAGAGATTTTGTAATGGTTTCCCAGTGAAATTCTTATAATCCCAAACTATCCGTACATCATCTCTTCTTGAAGGAAAAGTGTTGTGGCTTCACTTACTCTTCCTTTTGCCCAGGTTACTAGTAGAAGATACAACCAATAATTCAGTCTGTCTTTACAGAAAAGAAAAGAAAAAAAGGTTTGGTGGTAAGTGTACATGACATGGAATTGCTGTATTTGCTTTTAACTATATAATGCCAATCTAGTATAATTTTAACATCAATGATATAAAGGTAAATTTTGCTACTATTTAATAAAAATAAAAATAACATTTCATTAATGCTTTATGTTTTTAGAAATCAATTGCAAAGCATTTAGAGCATTTAAATAACTATGTAAAATCTAGGGAATTTATTTCAAATATCACCAAATAAATATTTAAACATTGCATAAATATCAAACTTTAGCACGGATTTTTAAATTAACCAAATGAACATTTCACATATACTAAAACACTTAAATAATGCTTAGGTATCAAAGTTGATGCTAGATCTTTCGAAAGTTATAGCAATAGAAATGATTTTGTGCTGTGCATTTTTAATTTAAAACTACATAGGTCCAATGATTCCTTAAAAGACCTTAACAGCTTTCAACATTGAGTTTTCTTTTTCAATTTTATACTAATTCTTACAAAGGACAAGAATAAATATAGACATACTGATATAACTTGATAGTGCTATTATCAAATATGCCAAACTTTTAAAAAATCAAATTTTTGTCCCAACTTACATTTTCCTGTATTTATAGATGTGATTTAAAAAAAAATCTCAATGTCATTAACTGTAAATCTGTGAACAGTAAGCTTTCCCCACCATTAAGGTCATTTTGATGAAAATAAGACTAAAGCTTTAATATTTATAATAGTGACATTAACTGGCTAGAGTACCACATTCTAAAGACTTATAATTCCCTAAGAATTATGCCAGAACCATATTCATTTCTGTAGTGCTATTTGAACATTCTTCACACAAAATGATTATAAAGAGTCTATATGGAAAAACTATTGAAATGTAGCAACCTTTTTCTCAGTGCTTCAAGACTTCATATAAACTATACAAATATTGCAGATATTTTTAATTGTACATTTGGCAAAAATTTTTTTAAAAGATGAACTATGATTATAGAATTTTCATTTTGCTACATAAAACTTTTCTCCTGCCAAATGTCCATTACCACTCCAACTTTTTTTTAAACCCTCCTTAAATGCAATCTTTAAAATCCAACAGTCAAATGAAGCTTCTATTCATCAAAGGGAGAGGGCATGAATCCTGTACATTAATCATTCTGCCCTGATACAGGACTTGCCTCTACCAAAACAGAACTCCAGGAAGGAATATTAGCTCTCCATGCCCATTCCACCTTGCTAACAATTTAGACAGGTAAAATAGCAAAGACTCTAATAGCAGTTTTGACGAGTACAAAATGAAAAGGCTCTCAACCTCAAACTAAATAATGATTACATTAAAATTTGGCACTATCAAATCAGGCAGGGATTAAGCTGAAGTGGAAAAGAACACAGTCTTTAATGGTATTTTAAACATTCTAACAGAAAATCAAATAATTATGCCTTGCTATCTACCGAAGACATTGGTTAAAAAAAAAATTCTCAGTAGATACAATGCACTATATCACCTTCTTGTCTAAAACTAAAATGAGTATTAAATATATCAATGTAGGTATCAAGTTGGTTCTTTATTTTTAGCAGGTTCTGTGTTAGACAGTTTTACTCATTCTTTAAACTACATAAAAAAACATGAACCCCAAAATACAAATATAAATCTAATCTTGTGTTATAGTAAATAATGATGTCTACCATCTAATATTAAGATGTATTTTTCTGGGGTTTCTGTTAACAAGGTAAAATAGAAGTTTTCTGTAAGAAAAAAAGAATTAAATGGCTAAAATGTATCTTTTGTGGGGTAAAATTCACCTCTATGCCCCTCTTCTACGAGCAACGTCTTATCTGCTCTAACTCCTTCAAGGCTCCAGTTCAGTAACAGAAATGCACACGTTTTCCAGTTTTCACCATAGGTTTTTTCTCTTAACATTGTTTTTAAGGATGCTTTAAACATCAGCTTCACAACTATTGTCTTACATTTACATTTATAGTTCATAATACAGCCCATATTAGGTAATGCCATGGCCTTTATACTTTTCTGGATCACAGTCCACTTAAGATTTAACCGGAGCTCTTTAGAGTAACAAAAAATTACATATTCAGTTTTGCAAGTAATTCAGGGGTTTCAAGTGACTGAAGACATCTGTTTAGCTTAAAATCCCTTGTAATAAAGGGATGAAATCAAATAATAGGTTTAAATTGCAGGTTTAGATTTCAAAGTTTTAATATAAAAAAGGAAAAATCTAGGTGTTGAACAAATATTTTATGATTGATCAGGCAAAATTAAAATATTTACGAAGGAGGGAGTTTTGGTCTTAGCTAATCCTGTAAGAACTTTTCAAACTCAGATGTATACAGGTTGAAACCAAATATGTAAATAGATACTGACATAGAGAGACATGGTCAGCCCTGGCTGGTGTGTTTCAGTGGATTAAATGCTGGCCTAAGAACGAAAGGATGACTGGTTCGATTCCCAGTCAGGGCACATGCCTGGGTTGCCAGCCAGGTCCCTTGCAGGTGGTGTCCAAGAGGCAACCACATACGGATGTTCTCTTCTTCTTTCTCCCTCCCTTCCCCTCTCTCTAAAAATAATTAAATCTTTAAAAAAAGATATGTTCATATCTGATATTAGCCAGTAAATATATACATTAAACAGAGGAACAGAGGAATTAATATTCACTCTTGCGGGCAGTTTATCAAGATCAATCAGTAAAGAAAGCTATATACAAAAACAGGCAGTATTTTCTAGTACTATTGATTTATATTACACAGATCCTCAGATTCAGGTAGACCATTTGTTAAGATGCCACCAATAATCAGTGTATGCAACATAGTTCCACATAGCTAATAAGTCATGTGGGACATGTGTTAAAAGCATGTATGCAAATAACCAAATGACTACAACCGAAAATAACTGTTTATTTCTAGAGTAAACGTAGTAACTGGCTTTTACCTCATAGTTAAAGGCTTAAATATATTTTAAAACTTCAGTCATTAGCCCTAGCCTGGTAGCTCAGCTGGTTACAGCATCATCCTGATATTCCAAGGTTGTGGATTCAATCCCCAGTCAGAGTACATTCAAGAATCAACCAAAGAATACATGAATACATATAATAAGTAGAACAACAAATCGACGTTTCTCTACCCCCCCACCCAGCCCCCTCTCTCTCAGATCAATAAAAAAATTTTTTTAAAACCTTTAAAGTATGTTTGATAATATGTATAACTTATAATAATATTAATAAGAAATAAAAGGTAATTATGGCAATGTGAGCTACCTAATCCAAAAATTAAAAATCAAAATACATTTCACATGTGAGAGTTAAGTGGATTTTTTTCTTTATTCAAGTAAACATTTTGATTATAACACATGATAATGGAACCCATGTGACAAAGTACTATAGTCTGTTGTTTGATGCAGACGCCTTGTCTCTAGGATGAGTTTCCAGGTGATTCTTCAGGATCCAATATCCACGCCCAACACAGGCTTTCCAACGGCAGAGCACGGGTTCTAGAGGCCACCGCCTCTGCCTTTCTTCAGATGCTGAGTGCCATCTTCTCCCACCCATTTTACCATCCTTTACTTATAAAAACCCCACTCTAAAATCCAACCTACATTATGAAATTAACAAAATTAGGAGTCAGTATATATTTTTCCACAAAAAAATTAAGTAAGACCCTACTTATCCTTTTTTCCAACTTTTGAAGGACTTACATAATCTTTTAAAAGTCAGAGTAATACACAATAAAAAAGACTCAAAGAAATTTATTACTTGGGTATACATAATATGTTGGAAATTGCTAAAGTACTGAAAAGCTTAATTTTCCTGGAATAGCAACTCTCTATTGGAAACTAGTTTACAAACAGAAGACTGCATTTTAACAAGTGGAAATACAGTACCTGATTCGGTATAAAGTAACTGTGAGATCTTTTCTCACTAATAAAGTGCTTAATTAAGAAATATTCTTCCACTACATGATTTGTCAAAGGCACAAAATGTCTTTGTCCCTCTCCTTAGAGCATTTTTAAAAAAATTACAGTATTACTCACTGAAATTTTACTTAATCTGAAAGCTTTACTGTTTTCTTTTCTCTCCATAATAAAAAAGAAACCTACTTGAAGGAAAACATTTAATTTTTATTTTCAACACTTTGCTAAGACATACATACAACACTAAATTGGATCCCCTCATGAGACTTTGTGTGCCATGCAGCACTTATGACAAAAAACATATGTAAGCTTTAGAATAAAAGTTAACAAGGAATCAAAAGATCTTCCCAAAAAGGATGGACAGGGGAATCAATAAATTAAAAATCATAGCTTTCGTTTTATAAAAAATAGTTTGAATAATCTCCTTATAAATCTTTAATGCCTACAAAAGCAGGAACTACATTTAAAATAGTCTTTTTAACACAGATTCATTAGTACCATGTGGTTGTGGTCAGAAAAACTACTAAAGTATCATTTCAGTCAGTGGTCTAAACTCCCTTCTCAGGAAATTCCACATAGAATTTAACAATTTGCAATTCAAAACAAGATTTAACTTTCAACAGGTCACGAGTGTTACAGTTAATATGTGAATATCAAGCTCTTTTCCATTTAATATATTTTATCAACATTTTAAATACAACTCAATGATAGAAGTTGATAACAATACTTGACTGCATGGGTACCACTCACGGCTACTGCATTGCTGCCTAAACACACTTTGGTCAGTCACTTTAAAAGATATAAATCAAATAAACAGGCCAGAAAAGTTATTTTAGAATCCATTCCCTGACCTTAAGTAAACTGTAAATACATTCACAAGGCAAGAAAAAATATAATCATGTATAGAAAGAGGTCTCTATTTGTTAACCATTTGGCATTCTATAGTAATAATTTCCTTGTTTAAAACAGTATTTATATTCCCGTGCACCAGTTATCATAGATCTCTGAATTAAAACTATAGTTACCTTTCTTAGAATGCCCAGTAGTGAATGCATTAATTGCTCCTTTTGCACTTCCATGAAGATGGTCCTTCATCCTGTAACTTTTTAAATTTTGGACCAAGAAAGAACCACCACCCAAATCCAATAAGCACACAAATAATGGACTCCACGTAATAACCATCCAGTGCTGTAACACATGAGCCTCCGAGTTTTTTGCAAAGCTGTAAAAATAAAATTTTGATAAATATTCCATAATTTCAAAATGGAAGTATTCAGCAATTTACATGTTTCTACGTTGTAATTTAAAAGATTAATCAAAATCTATTTTTGTTACATGTTAATATATCTTGATCTCTTAGCACTAACAGGATTAAAAGCAATTTTCAGCTCATGCTATAAACAATACTCATTTTCAAGATACAGCTTTTCATATTTGAAATATGAATACCCAAAGAATCTACTCTATGAGTAAGCTAATATTACCTTAAATAATGTATCAACAAAGTACTAGCTACTTGGTTTTACCTACAATTGTTAAATGAATAGCCAATGAAATCTCCCTTTTGCTATCATTATAAAACAACTATTAATAATGCATTTATTAAGTATCTATTGATCCTCAGGTGGTGGGGAGAGAGACTGCTCCTCCCTTGCTGAAAAGCACTTTCAAGTGAGCTACTCATACTGATCTGAGTGCATGATAGCCCCTAGTTATGATGGGGAAAAAAAAATATGTAGATTTCTATGCTAGAAACTATAGGCAAATATGATCTTTAAAATAGATATAGTACTTCTAGAGGCAAAATGATATTAGTTTAATGCTATCTAAAATTACAACATACATACCTCAACAGCATCAGGTGTTCGACAATTCTGGTTTGATGCTCCTACACACTCTTTCACAGTGAGGGGATCTACTAGCCAAAGGGCTACTGTAGAAGGCCAGTTTCCTCCCAGATTGGACACGGTATTTAAAAGGGTCATATATGTTCCTCCAATAAGTGGGTCACTAACCTTTGCATTAAAAGCCATTATGGAAACATACATGCTGTACAATGTAACCTAAAGGAAAATGTAAAACACCTTTAGTGCAATTAGACTTTATAAAGCTATAGTCTGAATTAAGAAAATCAAAATTAAACACCTGAAAATTAATTTCCATGACCCTTATTAAACTCAAGTCAACGAACATTTATTGAACATTCATTGATCAGGCTTTATGTTAGATCATGGCAATATAAAGATGACTAAGAGTCTCTGTGTGTCCTTCAAGAATTTATTCCAGGCTAGGTAAATAGGGAATAAATACTTATGATGAAATGCAGTTAAGTGTTATAAATAGAAGTACATATATCATGCTACTGGGGCCTAAATAAATGAGAGATTAATGCTACCATAAGAAGTCAAGGAAGGCTCAGAGGAGAAAATGACAGATGAGGTGGTCTTGAAGATGCTCATAGGAATAACCAAAACCTCATATTTGTACTGCACTTAAATATATCATATATGTGTATGTCCATTTATATGTATATATGTATTATACATGTAAGCACTCAAATATTTGCAGAAATATGAAATATAATTATACATACACACATATATAATTTCTTCTACATACATAGGAAAAACAACATTTCAACATTTATGTGGCGAACTGAGGAGAAAAATCTCCTTAAAGGCAAAAGTGCTTAAGAGGCAAGAATTAACCCTCCATTTAGGAACATGGAAATAAACCATGTTTCCAAAACAGCATTTTTTTGAATGCTGTTCCATGAGAGGTTCCAATATCAAATAAGACTGAGAAACGCTATGTTACATAAAATTAAACAGGTCTCTTTCAGTGCAGGCCTTCTGAAAGCCCGTTGGATGCAAACTCCTCAAGGGCAGGGATTTCGGCATGATTTATCCACTGTCACTTTACTACTTAGAGTGTTTTCTGGCATGGAATCAGTGTCCACTTAATATTTGTCAAAGGAATGATTAAGGTGCTACATAAAGAGGGGTTGTGTTATGTGCCATTTCTCAAATTAACTTGACCTTGTACCATTTTTCCCACAAAGCATCTGGTTGTCTGAGTTTCAATGACCACACTTTTGAAAATTCTCTAGTGAAATCCAATGCTAAACAAATGATTTTTGGACTACTACATGAGTTTTACCTACACAGATAGTGAAGCATTTGCTAAGCTAAAGCACTTCTTTTATTTTGTGACTAGAATTAACTAAGTATGTGCAAAACAAAATAAAATTATGTTGACACCTTAGGCTCAATGATTTACATATAAGTTAGTCAGACATAATTCACTATGGGGTTCTAAATGATACAATTGTGTGCAGAAAAATTACTGAGATTACCTGGTAGGTTTCAGTTAAAAGCAAAGTGTGTGGAGTTGGTAAATATAACTGTCAAAGTGTTTAAGTTAGTTTCTGCAAAAAAATCCTAAGTGATTCTAAAATACACATTAGCAATAAATGCAGGTAAGTGCCAAAAAATACTGCGGGGCATCTGCTATTTACTTGAATTGGTGGCCCTCAGAACAAAACCCCATTCTGCAACAGCAGTGAGGTGAGAGTAGGCAAAGTGACGATCACTTTTTTTTTTAAAGAGTGGGGAAGGAAGGGTGGGGGAGAAAGAAAGGGGGAGAAACATCAATGTGTGAGAGAAACCCTGATTGGTTGCCTCTCCCATGTGCCCCAACTGGGGACCAAGCCAGCAACCCAAGCATGTGCCCAGACAGAATCGAACCAGTGAACTAGGACTCTTTGCTGTGGGGCTAGATGCCCAACCAACTGAGCCACACTGGCCAGGGCAGGGCTCACAAACATATTTAATAAAGAAGGAAAAAGTGAGCTGGCTGGGTTGGCTCAGTAGATTGAGTGCCAGCCTGTGAACCCAAAGGTCGCAGTTTGATTCCCAGTCAGGGCACACGCCTGGGTTCCGGGCCAGGTCCCCAGATGCGGGCCTGCCAGAGGCAATCCATCAATTTATCTCTTGTACATTGATGTTTCTCTCCCTTCTCTTCTCTCCAAAAGTAAATAAAATCTTAACACACACACACACATACACCACCACCACCCGCCCTCCGCCGCCAAAAAAGGAAAAAGCACATAGCTTCCAAAATCTGAAAGAATAAGTCATAACCTTCAATACAGAATCTAAACCAAAAACTTGGAACCTTTAACCCAGTAGCCATCTTTATTATTTTTAATACTTTCAGAAAGAAAAAAAATATTGGGACTAGAAGGAAGAAAGAACTCAAGTTTAGGGATGGGCTAAGGAATACTTGGCAAGGGCATAATTACTAGCTTTTGAATAAATTCTAAAATGTAAAAAATACTTTTCAAATGAACAAAGAAAGAGAGAGAGAGAGAGAGAGAGAGAGAGAGAGAGAGAGAGAGAGAGAAAGGAAGAAGGAACTCTCCATGAAAACTCATTGAATCAAAAGTCACAAGGTTTAAAGTACACTGTCAAATAATTTCATTGTCAGATCTGTGTTTAAACCTTAAAACTTACTATCATTATTTTAAGGGAACCACACAAACATGTCTTCTTTATTTTACAAAGAACAGCTTACTTCCTGAGCAAACAAGCTTACCTGGTGTAATGCATAACTCAGCAGCACTATAATATAGTAATGCACAGGGAATCCCCCTTGATGTTCCACTTTCGGAGTCCACCAAACCAGTACAGCATACCCTAATCCAAGCAATAATCTATAGAAAAAAAATTAAACACTGAGCTGCCGTCCATTTTAAGTTAAAAAGCAATTAAAACAGAAACCTGTGTCTACCACATGAAAAAAGCCTGTATCTAAAACCTACTAGGAGGTTAAAAAGAGCTAAAAGTGCATACAAATGATATTAAAGATGCTTTTCAAGCTTTTTTTCCATAAATACGCGGATTTTAGTGATACTGATGAATGTTCCTCATTTAATCTTTCTTATTTAGGAAGGTTTTATTTTGTTTTTACCTGTATGGCATAGCTTTGTAAAATACGTTTAGTGGCTGGGGACCTGCAGTGTATTTGCTGATAATCAGAGGCAATATGATCTGCAAAGGAACCATTGGAACTGCCAGTAAGGCTAGGTGTTCTTTAGGTACTCCCTCTTCTACCAATTTCAGTCCTGTTACTGCATCTGCGGCTGAAAAACCAATCTGCAATGTAAAAACAAAAAAATATTTTAATTTGTGACTTATGAAATATTTTCCTCCAAGCTTATGTAGGTTCTTCAAGAACCTTAATCTCATTATTGACCCACGCCAGTTACAAGTATTATGTTATTATATCTGGTACAACAATCAAGTTAGAGAATGCACACTTTGCCCTATGGACTACTAATAATATTCAGTGAAAAATAAATAAAAATTCACCCCTCTTAGGAACTGTAGATAGCTCTAATTACAATTAAGTTTCCATTTCAAAAGTTCAATCTCGTATAATAAAGTATCCATATCCAAACTTGCTGATTTGTTTATTTTAAGTTCAAAAGAGAAACTTTAATTGACTACAAATAAATCTGGTTAAAATGAAACATTACTGCCGCAAATACATATTTTTGATGATTTCTGACTGACTATAATTTTCAAGTCTCCTAACATTTCAAAAGCAATTCTAAGAAAACATTATATCTGAGAGGTTGAATAAAATGATGGTTGGATTAATTCTTAAAAACAACAACTAAAATTAAGGATGCTAAGAGTAGTGAGTAAAGTTGCAGTGAATTAAGATATTTAGATAGTCTCAAAGTATCTCCCCATAAGTTAGTTTTTAATTACAAAAGAAAAGTCACTTTAAAATATTTTGGTTAACAACAGTTAGTGAAATAAAGGGACATGATGTGGCTCCTGATGTAATTCCCTGAAGACATCACAATATTACTTCTGTGGTATTTCTGACATAACTGAGCCTAAATATAAAGAAACATCAAACAAACATAAATGAAAGGCTCATATTCTTTAAAAATGTCCAAGTCACAAAAGTCAAAGAAAGACTCATGCCAGCTAAATGTAATGTGTAATCCTGGATTGAATCCCTAACATGAAAAAAAAATAAGGTTACAAAGTCTATCATTGGGACAACTGGTGAAATTTGGATACGGACTATGATTAGATAACAGTATTGAATCAATTTAAGATTTCCTAATTTTGGGGGTTTTTTAGATTTTATGTTATTTTTAGACAGAGAGGAAGGGAGAGAGGGAAACATCAAGGTGTAGTTGCCTCTCGCACGCCCCCTACTGAGGACCTGTCCGGCAACCCAGGCATGTGCTCTACACTGGTAATCAAACCAGCCACCCTGTGGTTCGCAGGCTGGCACTCAATTCACTGAGCCACACCGGCCAGGGCAAATTCTTCATTTTTTACCAAGTTGAGGCTTTGTAAGAGAAAGTTGTTCATAGAAAATACATAGATAAGGTATTTATGGATAAAGGGGCATGGTATATACAAATTACTCTCAAACATTTCAGAAGAAATATCTAATAGATTGCAAATTGACAGAATAAAGAAAATGGAACTAAATGTTAACAATTAGAAAACTGTGATAAAGATACACCGGAATTCTTTAAATGGTACAGTAGATTTTTAATAAATATGAAACTCTATCAAATAAAAAAAATTCCTTAAAAAAGGAATGATAAATTCTATATACTTTAACCTCTTGGAATGGAGCCAGGAAACAAATTTCACCATAAAAAGAAATGTTAAAGGTCAAAGATATTTCACTTAAGTCCAGAAAATAATTTCACTTATATTTCATCCATTCTCTGTAAAAATTTGATACACAAACTCACTTCAACATTTACTCTGCCTTAAAACTGGTATAGTAGTAGATATTTGTAATATATACATCTAACAATAACCTCATATCTAGGATATATAAAAAATAAAAATTCTACAAATTTAAAGAAAAAGGCAACATTGGGCATTCAAATGGCTATAACCATATGAAAAAAATGCTCAACTTCTTTACTCACCAGGGAAATGCAAATTATAACCATAACGAGATGCCACTACATACCCACCAAAAAGGCTAAAATTGCAAAAACAATATATCTGTTTTTAAGGCTACGAAGCTATTTGAGCTCTTACACTGATGGTAGAGAAATTGAAACAATCACTTTGGAAAATTGTTCAGCAGTATATAGTAACATAATAATACTTCTGACCCAGCAATTATATACCTAGGTATTTACTCATCAGAAATGTGCACCTATGTTCACCAAAAGTAAGGTACATGAATATTCATAGAAACACTATTCATAATAGTCCAAAAGTAGAAATAACCTAGATATCTGTTGATAGAATAAATTGTGGCGTATTCAAATAGTGGAATGTTATAAGCAATGAAATGAACAAACTACTGCTATAAATAATAGTATAGACAAATTATACAAATATAATGTTGAGTGCAAGAATACAAGAGCTAGACATCAAAATATATGTTGGATATTTCATTTATATAAAACTCAAAAGCAGGGAAAACTAGTTTCTGGTACTAAAAGTTAAGAAAGATGTTACTTTTGGTGAGGTTTACTTTGAAAGGGGAACATAAGATTCCAGACTCTGTAAATGAAGTACCTCCTTATTACTGGGGAAACTATAAATTATTATAATCTTTTAAAAAGTAAGTTAGCAATTATATTCACTGACTTACTAACTGCCCATTTAAGAATCTATTGTTAATACTCAGAATGTCAAAGAAAAACTGCAAAAAATTCACTAGTACATTTTTATAATTAAAAAACCTAAGCAAATTAAATATACAACAGAAAAATGATTGAATAAATTATGGCAATTTTATTCATTGTGACAATTATATTGTTAAAAAAGCTTTTAAATATTATTTAATGATACAGGAATATGGAATCATAAGACAAAAATAAGATTAAATGGTATATACAGTATGATCCAATTACACTTTTAAAGTATTTATGTGTATATAAATATACATAGTATTAAAATCAATTTGATTATAATTAATTATAGTTATATATGTAAAGTATATGTACACATACATGGGCACACACACATATGTAGGGGGAAATGGGTTGGAAAATATACCAAAAATGTTACCGAAGTTAATCTCTAAGTTATGTAGTTAGTTAACATCATTCTTGAACCTTTTAGCATTATCTACAGTTGAACTTTAAATTCTTAAGTTTAAGTTTAAACCTTCCTAACGTTTCCTTAAAATTTAACCCCCCCTGTCACTAGAGAGGAGGAAGCATTCACTGTTTGAAAACACTGAGGCTAAAATTTTTATTTCAGGATTGTCAAAGACAGTTATGAAGTGTTTATGTGCAGAAGTTTGAATATTAATATGGAACTCCTGTAACTGATTTTGGATTTTAGGAATATTAATTCCAACACTAGCAATAGCCCACTATAATGAAGTATACTTACCTTTCTTCTAGCATAGTGTCTTTAAAATGCTTTAGAACTATAAAATTAGGACATCTTAATAGAGAAAGCATAAAGAATAAAATAAAAATCACCAAAATCCCCATTTCTTTTATGGTATTATTTTCTTCTAACATTAAAAAGAATTCAACTGATTTTTAAATAAACAACTAATACTCATACATTTCTATATCTTTGTAAATCACATCCTAAGTAAATAATTTTACTATTTCTAACATTGAATGTATACTCATTAAATGTATAACATTAAATGTAACAGTAGAGAGCTATTGTTTTTTTCAAGGCATTCACTTTTATACCAAGCAGTAATATTATTCATTAAATAAAATTTCACATTAGACATACTTCAAATTGGCACAATTCTTTTCAAGATCCCCAGACATTTAGCTTACTTTGAAATTTTATTTAATATCATCACAGCTTTTAAAACACATTTAATGAAATGAAATTTTTTTTATTGTTAAATTCTAATAGTAGTGGAAAGGAGCTTATGATATGAAAAGGCAACAGAAATATTTCATGATATTGGTAATCATAACAGAATGGTGAAACAGCTTTATAAATCTCTTACCTTTGCAGTTAGAATCAGAAGGCAAAATGTCAGAACTGCTGGCATTTTTATAATTGCAAAAAGCAGCTTGTAAGTATCTGTGATCCCTTGGGTTTCTTCTTTTCCTACTGATAACTCTTTGTTTTCTTTTTTCAGAATGGCAACTAAAGTTGTTGTTATCAAAAATACGCTTCCCCAGAAAAAAAGGAAATCTGAAATTGAAAATGTTAAAATCTATAATTAACTTTTGAAATGACATAACCTTATTGATAGTATATAATTCTGTATACAACTTTTCCTCAATTAAAATCTGTTAAAAAAAAATTTGGCACAATGTGCCTATCATGTTCAAAGTACCGTAAGCACCAGGCACTGCAGATGCATGAGGCAGTCCTGGCTCTGTTAAACGTATGTTACAAAGACCCAAAATAGACAGTGATACTTAACAAGGAAAAAGAAAAGGGTTACAGACAGTTAGTGGCTTAGAGGAAAATAAAAGTCTACCTGTCATCATTCAAGAAAAGTGCCTGGGAGAGATGATTTTCATATCCATATGACTAAGCCATCGGTCATACTTCTTGAGCACCTAAGCCATTTCAGTTCTTTATTGAGTTGTGAAAATTTAGACAATACACAGATGATCATTTAGATTTTCCAATTCTTATGTTGAAACTTTCTGATGTTTTACAATTGTTTAAGAATAGCCTTCTCTTTTCAATACTGAGATACAGAAACAATTTTTTCATACTTATAGTGGCACAATGGGGACACATAAAAATTACTGTTTGGGTTGTTTCAGTGAAAGATAGCCGGGCCATTAGCCATTATTTTGAACGAATTAAGCAGGGAAAGAGAATAATGTTCTGAAAGATTCTCTGTAGTAGCTCAAAATAATAGTAATAATAAAGGCACCATTTACTGAATGTCTATCTTGGGTGCTAAGCATTTTACATATACCGTCTCCTTTACTACAACAACCCAAGAGGTTAATTTAGTACTAGTCCCAAATTTACAGATAAAGGAACAGAGTTAAGAGAGGTTGTGCCTGAAGTTAATTTTGAGTCAGTGATAAAATTATGATTTGATGCCTTATACAATAAATTTCAAAACTTGTATCTCCTTAATCACCCTGGGAAATGCATCTTAGTTTGTCACTATAAAACTTACTGGATAACAAAGGCCAGTTTCATCATATATAAAGTAAGAGGCCTTGGCTAGAAAATCCCAGATGCTTTCTAGCTCTAACATTCTAGATTAGTATTCATTTTCATATATGTCCACTTGTTATTTTATTGCTTATAGAGCACAACAAACTGTTTGTGGAACCTAGTTACATTTTTTCAGAAACAAATAGAGCATTCTTTAGTAAGGGCATTTCCTTTGTATTTGGTCTTGCTCCACTGCTGTGCTAGCTGATGGTGATCACTACCTCTTGAACCTCACTTATGATGGAGACAATAGCGTTATATGTTTAGACCAATTTTTCACCTTAGTATTTAAATATGCCTTTCTTACATGGTGTCCGATTTTGTTTTCATAGCAACCTTGTGAGCAAGGCAAAGCAGGCCTTATTACTATGCAGACATGAGGAAAAAAGGCCCAGAATATTTAAATCTTTGCCAAAGGTAAAAGTATTGATGCAGAACTTGGACGTAACTCTGAATTTGGATTTTATAAGCTACCTAGACACTACCTACATAACTTTTAAAAAATTAATGTTGGAACAAGAATTTATTTGAATTCTTGTTTGGTCTCCACAAGCCTGACCAAAAACAAGACTATGCTACCCAAGCGATGCAAATAAAGAAGCTAAAATGATTTCAGCATATATGGAAATTTGTATTCTGATGTTGAGTTCTTTCTCTGACCTGGGAAAGTTATACTTAATTTTAGGTATCAGAAGAAAAACATAAAACATTCTTGAACAAAAAAGGTATCCATTTTAAAACACAGTAATATATACAAGTTATGATTAAAGTTTGTCAAAATAACACCACAACAATTTCTAGTTTATGTTAATAGGATGTTTTGAAATTTAATTCAAAATTTAAGATTATTCCTTAAATAAGGGTAATATTCATTATTTTTGCATCCTTAAAATCATCCATGAAATGTGACAAATAATGGCCTCTTTATAGAATTTCATCTATTACATTATTCCTGTTCAGAAAATTTTTGTTCCTTACTTGGCTTAAGTATTTATGAAACCCTACAAAACAGTATTACTATCACTGTCACCAGAAATTTCAATTAATGGTCTCTATGTAAACATTAAGTGAAAATTAAAAGTTTTTCAGTTATATATTACTTTAAGAGTTCCAGTTCTCTAAGCAATGTTTTAAAAAAATTGCTTAGTCTCCCAACTTTAATGAAAAAATCTTCATCTAGAATTTAAACTCGATACCAACAGCAGGAGAAAAAGAGAGTAAAAATAGGTTAAACAGGTTTCATTATTGTTTGCAGATAGGACTATGTGTAATTTCTTTGTTCTTTAAGGATAAAATAGCGCATATGAAAGAAGGAAATGGTAACAATGCATCAATCAGAGCCCTAATTTGAAGGCTTTCCATAGCTCACAAGAACAGGATGAAGCTAAGAGCTCCGAAAGAGAGGCTCTGCCTCTGCCAGAAAATGTACTAATATAATTTATGAACATAATTACCATAAATACTGACCATTAGACTAATGGCTATTGTTTATCAACATTGCCTTGATGCTAAAACATACATAGCACTGTAAAAGTATTATGATAAAAAATGGTCTAAATATTTCATTATTAATATTTTGGTTAATTTTATGTATTTATTTACAAAAGCATTGTGATGCATACTATATGATGTATTCTATGATATGATCAAGATGTCAAAGCTGATGTTCAAGTCTCATAAATACGATTTTTGAGCAAAGACCTATAATACAAACTAAATATTCTGAAGTGGCTACTAGATCTTACCTACGGCTCTCATGAGTGCAAAAAGAGGATATAATAGCTGGCACCCAGATGCCTAATGTTCAAAGCAAAACACAGGATAGTGCAATAAAATAAAAATAATGATCACATCAAAAAAATTAACTGGGAAAATAAAAGAAAAAGGACAATCACATGAAATGCTGGCAAAGATACAAAGAAGATGGATCTGGATCACTCATACATTGCTGATAGGGAGGTAAAATGGCAGAACCACTGGGAAGAAATTTTGGCAGTTCCTTTCAGAACTAAAAATGGACTTGGCATAAACCAACATTTCTTTTCTTGGGCATATATTTCAGACTAATGAAAACTTACTTTCACATAAGCAATAGCCAAAAACTGAAAACTACCCCAATCTCCTTCAACGAATCAGTGGTAAAATAAACTGTGGTATGTCTAACAAATAGAATACTTCTCAGCAATAAAAAGAAATAAATTAATTACTACATGCAACAACCTGGATGACACTCAAAGAAATTATGCTGAATGGAAAGGCCCAATCTCCAGAGGATACATAGTGCATGATTTCATTTAGGTAACATTTCTGAAATAACAATTCTGAAGAGGAAAACAAATTAGTGGCTGCTAGGGTTAGGGATGGAGAGGAAGAAATGGGTATAGATGTAAAAAGGCAACACAAAGGAGTATTGCGGTGATGGTAGCTTAGTATTTTGATTGTTGTGGTAGTGGTTAGTCAAGGCTGCACATGTGATAAAATTGCATACACCACACACATGCACACACATGAATGAGTACATGTATAATTGGTGAACTCTTAATAGGCTCTATTGATTTTACCAATGTCAGCTTTTTGGTTTTAACACTGTACTATAGTTATCTAAGAAGTTAAGGGAGGAGGCTGGAGGAAGTGTGCATGGGACTTCATTAAGCATTTCTTTGCAACCTCCTGCAATGCATAATTATTTTAAAAGTTTTAAAAAAATGAATGGAAAATTTAAGAATGCAAAAGTTCTAGGACTGTGCTAAGGACAAGATATGTAGGTCCGAAATACAAGATAATACAAAGCAAAAAGAAATCTTCACAGGCCAATTCAATTGGTCTCTAAATAAATTTCAATAAAAACAGAAGTGAAATTCAGAATAGATTCATGCCAAATAAAATCTAATAATTTTTTGGCTCACTATGTATTTTGTAAATTGACTTTTCCACACAAAAGCAATCACATACTTCTTTACTGGACAAAGAAAGCACATAGCACCATTTTCTCCTTCCTTTTTTTTTTTTAAAATGGCTTTAAGACCTTCCTTCTGTGGTGTGGGCTCCAGTTTTTGTTGTGTTTTAATTTTATTTATTTTTAGAGAGAGGAGAAGGGAGGGAGAAAGGGAGAGAAAGATCAATGTGTAGTTGTCTCTCACAGGCCCCCCAACTGGGGACGTGGCCCGCAACCCAGGCATGTGTCCTAGCAGGGAATCAAACCAGCAGCCTCCTGGTTCGCAGGCCAGCACTCAATCCAATGAGCCACACCAGCCAGGGCTGGGCTCCAGTTTTTAATATCTGATATCTAATCCTTCTTGAATATACTAGCCCCAGTATTTCTCCACCTATCTTATTTTATTACTAAGCCTCCAACATTAGAAAATAAGTTCAAATTTGGTTCATTTGTCTACACTGAGAGGTAAGATCTACCAGATTTATGGGCTTGTTTCACTCAAGGCGAAAAGGAAGCTAAACTCAAGGGTTTTATATCAATCCTACCCAGAGATTAGTTTCTAAGGTAATGGATTTTTAAAAAATCCTCACCAGAGGACATGTTTATTGACTTTTAGAGAGAGAGGAAGGGAGACAGAGAGAGCGAGAACACTGATGTGAGAGTGAAACAGCAATCAATTGCCTCCGGTATGCTCCCTGACCAGGGATCGAACCCACAATCAAGGTATGTACCCTGACTAAGGATGGAACCTGCAAACTTTTGATGTATGGGAAGATGCTCCAATCAACAGAGCCACCAAGCCATGGCAGGTAATGGATTTTAAAAATTTTTTTATAAATCTTACTTTTTAAATTATACAGAGATTAGCTTTTAAGGTAATGGACTAGTTTTTTAGTTCAGTTTAGGTTTTTTTGTGTGTGTGGAATATTCACCCAGAGATTAGTTTTTAAAAGGTAATGAATTCGTTTTTTTTAAATATAATTCTTACTTTATTATTATACAGTAAAACTAAGTATTTTTAATGTACAGTTCTATGAATTTTAACACATGTATCATTTTCAAACCACAACCATATCAAGGTTCAGAACAGTACCACCACTCCCCAAAACTCCCACAGGCTATCCATCACCTTCTCCTCACCTACAACCCCTGGCAACTACTGATCTCTTCTCCATCTCTATAGCTTTATCGTTTGAGGAGGTACAAGGAGCTTTAAGCTTACCCAGTCTATCTAGAAATGGGTCATTTAGTTCTACCCAATCCTGAATAGCATTACTAGTCACATAAAATATGAGTACTGCTTCAAAAAGCAAGACAAAGAAATGTGTCACTAATTAAGAATTGGTCCTGCTCTCTTCCTAGGTCAAAGCACGAAGGTCTTATGAACGCATACTGTTTTCACTATTATCATCACCAGTATGATTAGCTTCATACTTAGAGCATCAGTTTTTTCAAAGCAACCGTTTCTCTTCCTCTGACTCCTAATGTGTATGCCTACCTATAAACAAACTGATTCACACACTGTTAATATGTTTAGCTTTCTTCTCCCTGTCCTCAAACCCAAATTTCCAGTCCCAATCCAATAACTTCTTCTATTCATTATTGCTACCACTGTTTGCAGAGAAGCTGGCCTCAACTACCAGCTAGATCTGGCTAAAAGACATTTTATATAAATCTATTTAGTGTTTTTAAAATTAGGGAGGGAAAGCCCAGGCTGATGTGGCTAGTTGGTTGGAGGTCATCCCTTACGCCAAAAGGCTGGGGGTTTGATTCCTGGTCAGGGCACATACCTAGGTTGCGGGTTGTGATCCCTAACTGGGGCGTGTATGGGAGGCAATCAATTGGTGTTTCTCTCCGCCTCCCCACTAACCCCCTCGTCTTCCTTCTTCTCTTGCTAAAATCAATACACATATTTTTTTAATTAGGAAAAAAACTTCAGCTTCTCTCAAATACTCATAAAATCTAGCAATCCTAGGACCCTACTGCCACAAGACAACGATGTATTGGCACTGCAGCTCCCCGCTGTTAGATGAGCATGGGCTTCCCAGGTCATCACTGTCCCCTCCAACCCCTGCAGTCCTGTACCAGCCCACTCGTTTACATTATCCATTTACCCTCCTCCATCATTTTGGTTTACAAACCTCACCATGGGCTCTAAATTCATTAAGAGCAGAAATTTCTCAGGTCTTATTCATCAAGCTATAACACTATCACATGGCTAGCATCAAACAGACACTCATTGGTGAGTAAATGAATAACATGCATGACTTTAAAAAACAAAAACAAACAAACAAACAAAACCATTTTTGATCTGTCACTTCTGGTCATTAGACAGTCCAGGAGTGGGCTGGCTTTTTTTAGACATCATTCATCCTAGTGCTACTTTTCCCTGAAAGAAAAGCCCAGTGAACACATACTATGTTTTATTATGTTACCCTATACACACATTATATTTAAGGAGTCAGGAAATCTAAACTGTAGGTATACATCTATCTCTAACTAGCCACTTGGCTGCAGTTTCTTTATCTACAAGAATGAAGAAATTGAAATACGTGATTCTTTCAAGTCATAAAACTTTAAAAGTTCTCATCTCTATATTCTTCTGGGTTACTTTAATCAGTTCCTGCAGCCTAAAAAGTCATCCCTTTTTGCTATTAAAGATCCTTGAAAACCAAATGTGGTGGGACAGAAAAAGCTCACTTGTGAGTTTAGTACTGTCCTGGACCCTTGTTGGTACCAAAACCATCTCAGCATAATCAAGGTTTTGTTTCGAAGGGATTCTATTTGCACCCTATCCTTCTTGTTCTATATTTACTATTAGAGTACTGCTTTCTCGATAGCAAAAACTGTTCTTTCTCAATATATCCACTTCCATGTAACGCTCAAAGTGTTAATCAAAGAGCATATTTTAGAATTCTACAAAAAATAAGGCCTATCTTTAATTTTTGGATTTTTGAAGCATCTGCCTCTTCTTTTATTACCGAAGCAATTTTATTGCCTTCATGATTATTTCTGTGCTCTTTAAATTCCTCAAAACCACTGGTTTTTCACAGTTATTGTATAATAAATTCCAGAAAGTACAAGGCTATAAATGTGTTATGTGCAGTCATAAAGAGGCATATGAAAATTCAGAAACTCTTCAACTCTTAACTTTAAATATTTAAACCAAACACAGTCCACCACAGATATAAAAAGTCAAATTAAACAGTCAGCTACCGTTACAATCACCAGGAGAACAAAGTTCAAATTACACAGAATAAACAGCTATTCAAAATAACAAATCAGTATAAATAAAATTCCAATGGTACAATCTCGATCTCCTAATTGGGGAACAGCTGGAGAGATATAATGGCTAAGGAAAGATATAATTAGAATAGCTCTTGAATGCCGTTCTCTGGAATGATGTTTTATCAATCGCTCTTACATCATACTTAACAGAATGCTATAATTTACCTTATTAGTAATTTAGTTTCCATAGCCTTTTAAATTTTAATGTCTCTACTGAGACTTTTGTATGTTAAGTAACACATTGTTTCATCAGTCTTTCCTAGTGGCATGAACAGTTCAGTACACAATGAAATGCTGGACAAATAAAAAGCACCAAGGTGCCAATCTGATACAGTCACAAATTATTTTTAGGTAGAGATTTATCCATAGAGCAGGGGTAGGACCCCAGAACATTCAGACTAATCTACCTAGTGCAAAGCAATGAGCTCTCAACCATTTTTGGCCTCAAAACAACTAATGAAACGTATAATTATCATTTCATCGGTAGTAGTGGCTCACTAGCAGTTTGAGGTAAAAGGGGGGCCCCTTACAGGGTGTAGGCATCCCTAGGATTTCAGGGAATGAGTAGCTCAGTTGTGAATCCCTCCCTCCTCGCCACTCCCCAAATACTGTAACTCTTACACCTCCCTCACCACACACCTACGCTTGACATTTATCCTGTTGGGAATTCCCAATCTAGTACTGGGAAAAGGAGAGAAAATTTAGCTCATTATCACTACCAGAACGAAGAATTCTACTATTTCCTGATGTTGGTTATTACTAACATTGGTAATTTCACTTTTGTTTCCTAGTTGTTAGGAAAGTTTTTTTTAAAAAAATCCTCATAAAACCTGACAGAGGCATTTCTTTTACTCACACAGAAAAGAGGAAATTTTGTAGAACTTACACCTGATTTCTTACCAGAGAAACTTCAAACCCTTTCTCATAGCATTTAAAGGACATCTTAACTAATCTGGTCAACACTGTTCTTTCAGCATTACTTCCCAAACCCAGTCCCCGAAACTACTGCTTTAGGCACTTCGAACCTCACAGCCACTGTCCCATTCTTTTTCGGTACTTGGCTGCTGCTTCAGTGCATGTTCACCTGGCGGTGTGCATTGTGGAGTTCCACTTACCCACGTCATGAAATGTTATTCAACAAGGTCAAACATCTACAGTGTAAAGCCTGCCTCCCACAAACAGTTAATAACCAGCAACTCTGAGCTTCCCTAAAATGGACATCTCTCCAGTTCCTTGTGGTTTGGACTCTGCTTTATAGCAGGCCCTTACAACTCTGTCACTTAGCCAGATGATTAATGTTTGAATAAATTAACCCTATTTCTTTCACTAGAGGGCTAAACGAAAACTGTTGATTTAGGAATAGGGGCTAGTAATGAAACAGAAAACATGGAGCCAGAAATCTCAATCCAGGGAAAGAAAAATGGAAACTGTGAAACAGGTATCAATTCATGCCTTCACCCTAGCCAGACTTTTTAAAAATGTGTATCTGGCCCTGGGCAGTATGTTCAGTTTGTTGCAGCATGGTCCCGTAAACCGAAGCCTCATGAGTTCAATTCCTGCTGGGGGCACATGCCTGGGTTGTGGGTTTGGTGCCCAGTGGGGTTCGTCCCTAGTCGGGCCGCTTATGAAAGGCAACAGATCGATGTTTCTCCCCCTCCCCCTTTCCCTCCCTTCCCTCTCTCTAAAATCAATAAGCACGACCTTAAGTGAAGACAAAAAAAGAAGTGCATCTGTGTACTAGGCAACAGATTCCTAGACTGAGTTTTGTTTGCATTCCACAACGCTACTGAATGGGTTGCCTCTCCCTGCCTTACCGCACAGCACGGATCACTTGTGATTCCTCTAATAAAGTCATTCTAATTTTAGTGGAACAGGAAACTTACCTTGTGTCATCTCCCATAAAATGATTTCCAGTAAATTAAATAATGAGCTTCCCCTTCACGTCACACACTGTCAAAAGGATTCACAAACGTAAAATAAAACAACATAAATACCCTACCTGAAAGAGTAACGATTCCCCGGGGTTGAGGCTGAAACCGCAAATATTTGTTACAAAAGTCGGCAGATTCAAGGGCCAAAAACAGAACATTGCCCAAAAAGTAGCCCGCTGTTTGGCCCACTGAATTGCAAGTAGAAGCATAACCCACGTTCTCCCTGGATAACATGGTTAATGCCCAACCATCCACAGCGATGTCCTGCGTGGCGGCCAGGAATTCAAACAAAAAGAATGTCACTGTGAGAGCAATCACATCGGGGTTTCTGCCATCAGTATTCCCAAGCAAATGGTCCACCTGAGTGGATAAATATATCATGAAGATTCCCAGTATATACTGTGTAGGGACAAGCCAAGATTTGCGACGACCGAAGTTCCTAAAGTAAACCGCATCAACCAATGGGGCCCAGAGCAATTTGAGACTGAAAGGCCAAAAGACAAAACTGAAGAAAGCTTGATCTGTATAGCTAACATTTTTGCTCTGCAAAATGAGTGGTATGCTTCCCGCCAGGCCCAGAGGAATGCCCTGCAGCACGTAAAGAAAAAGCAACAGCAAAATGCTGCTTAATTCGGCCCGGCAACTCCGTTGTGGTTTTGAGAAATCACTGGTGCCGGTATCCGAAAGAAAACCTTCTTTGTCCCCTTCTCCGCCCACCCAGTCCAGATGTGTGTCATCCCAGCTGCCCGGCGGCAGAGGGCTGCTCTTCATATCCAGGGAGTGGTTGAAAGACCCTGGCCGTCGTTGACGACTGTTGTCCTTGTGGGAGATGGTGGGTGACATATTAGAGACGATGAAGAGCCCTGTCTGAGGGGGGTCTGGGCTGAGCGTCTTGGATCCGTCTAGTCCGAGGTCCAAGGCTGCCGCTCCGGACCAGGGTCTCGACGCTTCAGAGAGGAAGGCAGAGAGCGGGTGACAAGGGCCCTTCTTACTGCGACGCGGAGTGCTAAAGCCGGCGGCCAGTCTCCACGATGGAGACCCGGGCGACGGCGCGGTAAGTGCCCCCTGGAGCGGCGTCAAGGAGGCTGAAGGAGCCCCCCGGGCAGCCGCGCCGGGCTCGGGGCTGGAGGGGGGGCCGTGGTGCTACGACGGAAACCGGAGCCTAACTGCAGCGAGACCGAACGGCTCGTGCCGTTACCAATGCGGCAGACTGCACTTTCTGCCCCGGACTCCAAACAAACTAGACAACTTCCTCCCCCGCGCTTCAGGAAGTGGTCCTAGTCTCAAATAAGTCCCGTCTCCGCCTTCAGAGCAAGCCAATCAGGACATGCTCCCGGGACCCAGTTGGGAAACGAGGCTTGGTAGGAACCCGCAAATCTGGCGGCCGGGACCTCATGGGAGGGTTAACGCGGTCGCACAATGCGGCGGGGGCGGGGCGCCAGAGGAGCTCGGGCTCTGTGAGCGCATGCGGCTGTCCGGAAAGCGTGGGCCTAGGCCATTGGACAGGTGCTGCCACGTGAGGGCGAGCTGAGTCAAACCTGTGCTCGCGGCCAGTGTCAATGCCTTGAAGCCTCTGACGCTACAGTAGCCAGGCGTGGGCTGGTCGTTAGGCTGGGCAAGGGCACTGCCCAAACTGCAGGTGGGGGAATCGTAGCATGCCGTTGATTTCGTGGGCCGAGCAAAACCCAGAAGAGAATGGTTTAAGTTTTAAAAATTTCTTAATCCGCAGGTAAGGGTGCTTTGTGGCCCCAAAAGGGTAGAAAAAAGGTCTGGCCAAATCTTGAAGCCATGCTTTACAGAGCCTGTTTATAGAATGAATGAAACTGCCCAAGAAATGTTAGGTTTCTGTTTTCCATTTTTCCGAAATGGAGAAAGACATGAAGGGTAAGTGGGGTCTATGTGACCCCATCCACTACGTTGGGTGGACTGGAATTAGATTGGAATTATGCATCTCGTTACATCCCACTATTTTTGAGCTACTGTAAAAGTTCTTGTAAGAGCCAAGTATTAAAATTTTCATGTTCAGTTCATAATTGAAATAAGAGAAAATAAGCTTAAGGAACCAATAGCATTATTGGTGATAAAAATTGATTTGACATTTGTTGGAGAAGAGCTACGGAGAACCTGAACTGCCAGAAAGATGAACAAGTGGGTCCTAGAGCAAATTAAGCCTGAAACATAGAGGTAAAAATGATAAAACTGATACCCTACTTCAGAGACGTTATGAGAAGGCAGGTTCTTTAGCAAAGATTATAATGTTGGAAAAGTAGAAGGTAGCAGGAAAAGAAGATAAAATATGAAATAGATTGACTCAATGAAAGAGAAGACATGAGTCTACAGGACCTAAGCAGGGATATTGGGGACAGGACAATGTTGTAGACATCAGTCATTCATAGAGTCGACAGGAGTTGGAGCTGACACAATGGCACATAACGCATATAGAAAATACATTACCTATAAAAAGTTTATATATAACATAGTTTTTTATGTAATATTTATGTTTTCCACTGGATAACTAATTCTTAAAACACAAACCCTATACTTAAACATAACCGAACTTCACATCATTTAAGAGATAAAATGGCCTCTCCCACATACAAATGTTGAAATAAATGTTCTTCAACTCAAAATTAGAGAAAAAAGATTGGTTTCATGAAGGTGGATATTAAAATTTGAATACAAAAAGTTACACACCTGTTAAATGTAACCTAGAGTTTAGACAGGAAACCAAATTATATGAACACTTCGTTTCTGAAAACTAATGTTATGCCATGTTTCAAGAAAGTTTTTGAAGCTAAAACTGAAAAATTTTAAGAAAAACTTTTTAAGGAATGGTAGTTCTTTATACACACGCGCTCACACAGACACACATATTTGTTGATTATGCTGTTACAGTTGTCCCGGTTTTTTTCCTCCCCTTTATTCCCCTCCACCCTGCACCACCCCTGTCCCCAGCAGTCCCCCCACCCTTAGTTCATGTCCATGGGTCCTAGATATAAATTCTTTGGCTTCTCCATTTCCTATACTATTCTTAACCTCCCCCTGCCTATTTTGTACCTATTATTTATGCTGCTTATTCTCTGTACCTTTTCCCCCATTCTTCCCCCTTCCCCTCCCCTCTGATCTCCATTTCTATGATTCTATTCCTATTCTAGTTGTTGGCTTAGTTTGTTTTTGTTTTTGTTTTTTAGGTTCAGTTGTTGATAGTTGTGTTTGTTGTCATTTTACTGTTCATAGTTTTTGATCTTCTAGGAATAGTAGTTCTTAAAGGAAGTTCCATTTATGGACAAGAAAGGCATATGAACTTGGCTGAAAAACTTTTTTCTTTTAAAGTACATATGCATTGTAAGTTATACATAAATACTTGTTGAATGATGAATGTATTAGAAAATTTAATACTAAGTTATGTATGTAGGTGGAAATTATTTTAAGGCTAATTTTACAACATAAATTACAAAGTCTCATTCACACACTCTTTTCATTTAGATCTAACTTAACATATTACAAAATAGCTTTTTTTTTCACTGTTCTTTAACTTATCCCCAAGATCTTGGCATAGTCATGATTAAATTTGGTTCCATTTTTATATCATTATAGAGTTTCTTCCATTATATTTGAAAAGAGTATGTATAGATAAACTGAATCTTTGCTTGTCTAAAAAGTGTAGTTGTTGGCTTCCAGCCTCTATTACTGATATGAAAGAAATATTCATCTGATTTTGTTTCTTTTGTAAGTAACTTCTTTTTCCCATCTGGTGCTTGTAATGTTTTTCTTCAATTGATAAGTGTGCCATTTTAAAAAATTCTTTTTTTAAAAAAACATTTTTAAATTTATTTTTATAGAGAGAGAAAGGGAGGGAGAAAGTGAGGGAAACATCAATGTATGGTTGCCTGTCATGCACCTGGGAACCTGGCCCAAACCCCAGGCATGTGCCCTGACTGGGAATCAAACCAGCAACTATTTGATTTGCAGTCCAGTGCTCAATCCACTGAGCCACACAAGCCAGGGCTAAAAAGAAAAATTCTTAATCCTTGCTGTGTATCTTTATTTTATTACTCCAAAACTTAGCACCTTAAAACATTTTATCTCACAGTTGCTGTTGCTTTTGAATTCAGAAATGGCTTGGCTGGATGGTTCTGGCTTAGTATCTTTCGTGAAGTTGTAGTGTAGATCTCAGCAGGGGTTCAAGTCACCCAAATGCTTGACTGGCACTGGAGGACCCACTTCCAAAGCAGCACACTCACATGGCTGTTGGTAGAAGGCCTCAGTTCCTCACCATGGGAGTCTCTCTGTACAGCTGCTTAGGAGTCTTTCTGACATGGCAGCTTGGGTTCCACCAGAGCTAGTGATCTAAGAGCAGCAAGGCCAGCCTACACTCAACAGAAGGAGAATAAAACTTCAACTTTTCTAGGGAGGAATATCAAAGAATTTGTAGACATATTTTAAAATCACACTGGGAATTGATAAATTATTTCAACCTTAAGATAAAAATCTCCCATTCAGGGAAGTCATCTTCTACTATTTAACAAATTATGTGTAATAACTTATCTGCATATTGTTAGGATTTTCTTTTTTTTATTGAGAAATTTCAAAAGGAAATGGGGCAATTCTGGCTGCCAGTGGAAGGATATTAGTATGCTATAAAATTTTTGAATTACCAAATCTGTTGTATTTGTCTTCTAGCCCCTACTTGTAATCCTATTGGTTAATATTATAGTTAATAGTAATCCTATTGGTTACTATTATAGTTCATATTAACTGTTGTTATGTATCAGTTTATAACTATAATTATATTATTATAGTTAACATTACTAACCCCAACACGCCTAGTCTATATCTCCGGTATCTGATAATGATATAGTTACTGATGTTTCATAGAGCCTCAAAGGAACTCTAGAGGCATCAAGGATAAAAAGGAACATGGACTAATGAAATAAGCTATAATCCAATTATTTTCTTAGATAGTCAGAAGCTATAACAAAATTTAAGTCCACCCAGACCAAATAAATTCATTTAGTAATTGGTACCTATGGATTACCACATTAAATAATGTGTGTCTTTGTAGTGCAAACCCTCAGGACTATTCTTATGTATTCATATGGCCTTCATGTACTTACCACATCAATCGTGGACCTGTAATTTAGAAACCTCATTCTGCCTTTCCAAGTATTCAACAAATGTTTCAGTAACTCATTGTTTTCATTTTATTTATTGATTGATTTTAGAGAGGACAGCAGAGAGGGAGGGAGAGAGAGAGAAACATCTATTTGTTGTTGGACTTATTTATTCATCAGTTGGTCACTTCTTTTATGTGCCCTGACTGGGGATTGAACCCACAACCTTGGTGTATTGGGACACACTAACCAACTTAACCAACTGAGCTACATGGACAGGGCAGTAACTCATTCATTGTTCTTAGAAGTCCAGTTGACCTGCCAGGAAAAGTCCAGGACATAGGAGTCTACACTGGCTAGAAGTTTCTAAACTAAAACATGTTATCATGCTGACCATGATAAATAACAAAACAGATTAATAAATTCAACAGACTAATATACATAAACTTGCTGTCTAAAATCATTCAAAAACAATTCAATTGCTCTCAACTATTTACAGGCCAGCCAAGAGTCCATACAATAGCCAATATATCTTGTATCCAGCAAATAAAGGTGAAACAATTAGTCAATTTTTTTATAGTCCACTTGGTTAACTAAGGTTGATCACACTATTTTATTTTTTTAAAGATTTTATTTATTTATTTTCAGACAGAGGGGAAGGGAGGAGAAAGAGAGGGAGAGAAACAGCAATGTGTGGTTGCCTCTCGTGTGCTCCCTCCCTACTGGGGACCTGGCCTGCAACCCAGGCATGTGCTCTTACTAGGAATAGAACCAGCGACTGTTTGGTTCTCAGGCCAGCACTCAATCCACTGAGCCACAACAGCCAAGGTTGATTTTTTTTTTAAGAAACATTTTATTTATTTATTTATTTATTGTTAAAGAAAGGAGAAAGAAGGGAGAGAGGGAAAGAAACATCAGTGTGCAGTTGCCTCTCACGCACCCGCTACTGGGGACCTGGCCCCCAACAGCCAACACTCAATCCACTGAGCCACACCAGCCAGGTCTGATCCTTGACATTTATTCTCCAGGTTAGGTGTTGGTTAACAAATTAAAAACAAAATAGTTTCCAAATATCTGATACTTATGATTGTCCTCAGTCTTTACACATTTTTCACCATCTGCCTGAGCTTTAAATATTACTACATGG